CAAAGCATTTACACCGGGGAAGTTACACATTTCTAGGAACCGATCCACAAGGAGACCCTGGGAGGGACCATTTCAAAGCCGGCTGAAAAGGTGTTTTACCTCCCTAAATGCCAAAATATGCATTTTCAGTGCATCTGAAGAAGAATCACATAGGGAAGAAAAAATAAAAAAAAAGTATTACTCTGACTTTTGGGTTGACTGTGAATTAAGCAAACTTCTTTCCTACAAGTTTCTGAGGGTTTGGGTGAAAGCAGTTCATACACAAGACTTTGGTGTTTCTGAACATGCTGGCAGGGGTAAAATTTGTGCTGTTACTTCTCAGAAATGAGGTAAATAGTATGTTGAGACTATTTCTATGAAAAAAGGGGACTAAAATATGCTGAAATCCTGTCAAAACACTCCTGCTATACTGTCCTGTTTTTGGTGACAGTACTGATGAAAGTATTTTGTAGGCAGTGAGTGTCAAGACGTCTCTAAAATATTGTCTGGCATGCTATTTGTGTAGAAATTGGCATACACCCAGATGCCTTATGGATCTTACAAGATCAATGGATGGGCAGGAGAGCAAGAATGTGAAATACAAGTGTGCACTCGTGTGTGGTTTGCCTGACATTCCCCTCATCTTCTGTGACTTCCTGGGTGGCTTGCAGAAAACCTGGACCTAGGACCAATTCAAATCCCACCAGCCCAAGGGGATCTTTTCGTTGCAGAAGGGTCAGGCAACAGTTCCAGCTTTGAAGTTAGATGCTCAGGTCTATCTATCTTAATTTAATTGCAGTCTTTTCCACATGTATTTAGTGTCAATACCTCAGGACTACCGTGGTTCAAGGTAGTTTAAAGGCTCTCAGTTGCTTGCCTTGGTGGCCTGGCACTATATTGTATTTGCCCAGATCGAGTTAGCCACCAGTGATCACAATGAGTTTGCATGGACCAAGTTAATTCTCTCTTATTTCAGAGCAATATCATTGTTTACTGTTTGGTCTGTGATATGACCCAGAAACTGGAGATGCTGGGGGAGCTTGGTAATGTTGGGAGGAGGAGAAGGAGGAGAAAATGCCTTCCCTATAGACCCTGCAGCTTCCTTGCTCAGTTCTGAGGAAAATAAAATTAATGTTTGAGGCTTGGTGAAAATGCCCTTGCTTCACCACTACCCGCCTTTGATGGAGGTGCCTGAGACGAACCTCTGCCACATAAATTTCAGAGACCAGACAGAAAATTCAAATTTGCGAAAATAAGGGAGACTCTCTAAAGGCCAGCCTATTTTTAGAAGATCCTCTGTGGAGAAAACAAAGTCTAATTAGAAACAGCCTTTATTGTTACAGTAACTCACCATTTCACATGTGACCCTGGGAGTCTTCTACCTCTCTGGGTTCACTAAGTCTCTTTAACTGCCTGAGTCCCTCTCAGGTTCAAAGTCAATCCTGAATACTACCTTCTCCTCCATACCTTACTATTTTCAAGACACAAAGTGAGCATTACCGTTACTATGATGCTCTGCTCTTTATTAGTTATTTTTTTGAGAACACTACTTATTATGATTTAATGTTTCTTCTCTTGGTGACTGTAGGTTAAGTGTTTCTGTGTGTGCTAATCTCCACTTAATCTTTCTTACCACTGCATATGAAGTGGAGGAAAAGATGTCTCCAGAACAGCGTGGCTTGGAAACTGTGCTTTTTTAATTACCGGCTGTGAAGAAATCTGTTTTTCCACCAATTGACATGCATACTTTTTTAGTGGTATAACAGGTTCTGAGGGGAGATCTCCACCACAGATAGCAACATGAACTTCCCTCCTTAGGAGGCAATTGCCCCTGTATCTGCAAGATTCTTCCAAATGCATTGTCTTACAGTTACCCTTTGTGGCAAATGAAGTGGAGGGGGTTTGGTCCTTCCCTCTGAGAGCCTCTACACTTTGCAAGGCTGTAAGAAATTTTCAGAAGTGCTCAGGACAGGAAGCATGCCTCTGGGCATGCCTCTGCTTCCCTTCCCCAGTGAGCCACCTCTACAGCACTTCAGTAGCAGATTGGAGCAACAAACACAGTTGGCCATAGGACAGAAATCCAAGTGATGGGTCCTTGCATACAACAGATCCTTACTGCATTTTGGCCTTCCACAAGCTGACACCATCAGCATCTCCACTGTCACCATTCAGAAGTCATCAGCAGCTGTGTGCCAAAAGATGTAATATCCAAGCATCCATTCCACCAGGGACCAGGACGGCAGGGAAGGGAAGTAGCAGCCCTCCTGTAAGGGATGCACTGGGCTCCAAGGACACTTCTGTCCTTGGCTTTGGAGGTTGACAGGGAATTGTGGGATCAGTGAGAAGGTTTGCAAAGTCTTGAGAGGCTTGTTAAAACACCGAGCTCTGAACCAACCTCTTCCCACAGTGTGCTGTCATAGGACTGGCTTGGGAAAACAGCTGAGAAACAAGAGAGAGGAGAGCATCAAGGTCTAGCCAGGGGACGGGGTGGTCCAGCCCGTGGGCTTCCCACTGTGACCAAAAGCAAGCAAAGAAGATGTTCTCCCTATTACATAAAGAGGACCTTGGGCACACCTCAGCCCTCCACATTTCTGCCTCACCAGGACCAGCAACAGATGACCTCTGCGGGCAGAGGCAGCACATCGGGATCAGCCAGGTGCTGCATGGGGCAGGAGTGAGTAATGGGATCACTGTTTCTCAGCAGCCAAACTCCCTGGCCACATGTCACTGTCTCAGCACGACAGCGGTGGGGATGAGATTCTGTGTGAGCATGTGACTGATCAACACAAAGCTCTTCCTGCTTTCCATCCATCTCCCTTGTTTGGGTGCAAGCAGAGCGTGGGACCTAACAAACCTCAAACCCACTGACAGCGAGTTGCAGAGCCTCTAATTTCCGTTGTTTACTAGTCAGGTCCCCTGAGCCTCGGCCAGAACCTCCTCACTGGTCTCACTGGTGCAAGAGCTCCGTGTCTTCCCACTCTTACTCAGCAAACTGCCAGCAGCACCCCCACCCCCAGACATTTGCATTCAATTACCCTGAATTTCATCACAGAAAGCAAATTTTGCCTGGCCACAACTTTGGAAGGGGCAAAAACAAATGCCGCAGGTCACAACCTGTTATATCTGATCCTCCCTCCAGATTTACCACGGGTTTTTTTTCCCCTCCCTCCCTGTTATGTGGTGTTGGTCTCAGATCCTCCTCTTGGCCAGATGAATCTTACAAGAAACTCGGTTATTAATCAGATTTTGCAGGGATTTAAGGAAAGTTGCAAACACAAGCGTGCAAGCAGAAAGCTCTCACTACCCTTGTGAAACAGCTACTGCTGTTTCTCTGTAAAACCACACTTGTATTTCCTCTGCTGCAACTTCTCATGCCCCTCCATTTCCTCAGGGGAAGCAATGAAGAAAACTCATCAGAGAAACAAATCAGGAGGAAGAGGACTGTACCAATGGCACAATTTGGGCATTTTGGGACATAAAATAGATGTAGCACCCACGTGCCCCTTTGTATTTCTACCACTACTAGTGATCCACAAATCTGAAGTAAATTAAACAGTAAACTTAAATATTTGGAATTCTTAAAAATCAAGGGAACTAGTTCACAAGGAAAGCATTCACCTGAGGAATGCTTTACAATTACATGCTAGTGCCGACAGAGCACTACATGAAATTTATACTTGAGTTGCACTCAGTTTTCCTCAGGCTAGAGCATACAAGAGGCAGCTTATGGGCATTGTCAGCAGAGTGGTGAGCAGAGGGAGGCTGCCAATGTCACCCTGACCCGGCCACGATGGGAAGAAGTCCTGACATTTGCCTCTCCACCCTCTCTAAACTGTGGTTGCCGACTGAACAATACCTGACTAACACACACCTGAGGGATGCTAGAGGTGGTTTTCACAGCAGGACTCAAACGACCTTGCCCAGGTCACATTTCTGTAGCTGGTTTGGGCCTTGGTTTATTAACCAGCTCTCTCGCTGAGTGTAACATTTAGTCACACCATCATGTGACAAGTGTTTGGGATTAGAAATCCCAAACAGTTACCCCAGTTATTCATATGTTTATGTGCCTATTTGAAAAGAGCAGCTTTTTGCTAATGTGATTTTTTTAAATTGTTGTCAAAACCAGTCCTCTCTCCCATCCCAGCTGCAGGAGCATCAAGAGCATAAGTTGATACTTAGACGCTCTCGTTCAAGTCCCATCCTGCCACAGCCTGAAGCAACATGCTACTCCCCCACTGACGACTCAGCGTGAATCCTACTAACCTGCTGTGAGCAGGAACATTAGCTCAGGCTCCTCAGGTCACACAGTCCCCCTCTTACTCAAACGGTGGAAATGTTTGGTAGGTTGACTTTCTCAGAGGTGTTTCTCATTCTGCTGGGTCATACATTCAAATGCCAAAATTGTGACTCATTAACGGGGCAAGTTTGGGCTAGGGGGTGCAGGAAGGGAGAAAAATAGCTTGCAAGAGCCTTCCTGTTTATCCACGGCTTGGGAAAAAAAATGACACAACAGAATACACACACCCTGGCTCCATTATCTTTGCTGGCACGGCGCTGGCTTGGCTCTGTCCCTTAAGACTCCGGGCCAAATCCATCCCTGCCTCGAGCATGTTTACTTTAGAGGAGTTTACTCGAGAGAGAAATCTGGCCCCCAGAGCCTGAATGCTCGCAGTGTGCGAATGAGCGCACGGGCACCGGCAGCCCCCGCGACAATGCCACCGCACTGGCCCCCGGCCACACCGGGGAGGTCATTTTCTTTCTCAGCAATTAGTGAAGTGGTGGCATCACTAAAGGAAATTGAATAAAAACATTCAACCCAGCTGGGTTCCCAGTTTGCTCTGTTCTCACTGCCCTTCCTTCTGGGCCAACGGTGGGGCCCCAGCAAGCAAGAGCCCAATGCCTGTGCACTGCACTTTCATTCAGGCCTGGTTGGAAAGGGCTTTTGGGAAAGAGGAGGAGGGGGAGAAGTAACCCTTTGGCTTTCTTCTTTTACAACAAATGTCTTCCCTTTCTCTTTTCAGGGAGGAAAAATGCCAGCTTCTCTAAAAAAACTGCAGCAAATGGCTGTTTTCATGGGACTGTTCAGTGGTGGCGGATGCATCGTGATGTATAATCTTATGCAAAGTAAGTCTTGCTGCTGTTAGCAACCTCACTTCTCATCTGCCCCTTTCACTGGCTTTTGTGTAGCAGGGAATATATATAGCAGCATGCAAGATGTGAAAAGCAGATGAAGTCAAGGGAAGTGCGGCTGAGCCTCTGGGTTCTGCCTCTGTGGGCTCTGCTTTGTTCATCCCCGGGGCTTTTGCTCTTCCAAGCCCCGCTGCATGCATTTCCAGAGGCAAATATTGCATAGGAAGCAAGCTGTTGTGGTCAGAAGAAAGTCTGGTTTTTGGGGGTTTCCTGAGGGTGAAGCGAAAGCTTAGCCAGTAATACAGGTTTCATTTCTTCACTGAGATTTTATAACCGGGCAGTAAAAAAGGACCATCTGCGAGAAGGTATCAATGTCTAGCAGTTTTATCTGTAAATCTCTAAGTGGTGCTGGCCCTTAAACACAACAGCACCTGTGAAATGCTAAGACATCATTACTTTCTCCTGAATGAGGGATAGATAAGAGCATCAGCACTGAGAAGACCAGGACAAGGAGAGAAAATCTAGACAGGTGACATTGCTGTTTATAGACATCTCTAGCTGGTTCACATCTCTGGCCAAGAATCCAAATTACTAGTCCAAGTGATAGATGTTTCCTTTCTCTAAAACAGCTTCTAGATATTTAGCATCAGAACAGAAATAGGCTTTGCCTCTCTCTCAGGGGGTGCTGTAGGCCTCTTGGCCCTATGCCTCTCCCTTGTTGGTGCTATCAAAGGCTATTGCTTTTCACCTACCCTTATATCAGAGGATGTTGCCAGGAAAGTGTAGCCAAGCCTGTTTCTCGAGCCTTCAGATAAGCTCCGAAACCTCCCCTTCATTTTACACATATTAATAATAAATCAGACAAGGCTGGAAAGCAGGATTTAATTTTAGGTAGCTCATGCCCTCAAGCTCTGGAGTACATGACAGAAATATGATCCTTACGCTTTAAAATATTGAATCTGGCTTTAACAACGACATTAACATTTTTTTAATTTTCAACTTCGGCATTGTTACCTAGAAATCTCATGGGGAAGTCACCCCCTTGCTATACAGCAAGTCAACAGGGCTCGTTCCTGCATCACTTAGCATCAATAAAGTGGTGAAACACAAAGGCTACTTCTGCCTCTGCTGCAACACCAGTGGCCACTGAGTAGCTGTCTGGTAACTTGGTGGCAAGCAGCGGGAGAGAGTTGCTTCCCTTTCTTTGAGCTGAAGGGAAGTTTGCACGCACACAGTCTCTGTGCAAACACTCAGGTAATCCCACTTCTACTCACTCTCCGTCACCTCCACACCCTTCTCACGGAAGCAGGCTGCTCAGCCAACTCCAGCATCCTTTCAGCTTTTCTACCAAGAGATTTGTGTGAACAAATGGGTTAGTTGGGTGTTTTACGTTTAAGGCATGAGATGCTAACAAGGAACAGCTGAGAAGGAGCACCAGGAAACTAGAACCCATTTCCCCTCCAACCTGCAGGATGGACACAGTATATTTTTAACGTGGTCTGGGAGGCTGTTTGCCATAATCTAGAGGCACTGAAGGGCTGGCATGCTGCAACTCCTTTGGCTGGAGCTCCTTAAGATGGTCTGGGGGAGGGGCAGGGGAGATCCAGCTCAGCCTGCAGCCCAGCAAAGCTGTTTCTATGCCAACTGGATGCTGCCTGCTCACAGAGGATGCCTCTAATTAGGGAGAGGGGGCAGCATTCTTCTGCCTTATGCTCCAAGATTATTACTGACAGGAAAGAGACTATGAAACAAACCTTACACCTTGTTCTAAGCTCTTTGAAATGTGAGGGCAAAGTCGCCAGAGTAGGATTTTTGCAAATGCACACTCTTGGCTTAACTCTGCCTTTCCTGGTGTCAAGAGAGGGAAGTTATGCTGGCATGAGTACATCTAGAAATCCCAGCAAGCGAGCCTTAAAACTGTTAAGAAGCAAATACCTGCCACCATAGGGGAGGGCCGTCAAGTTTCCAGCCTCTCAACTCTGCGCTGTCCATTGGCACCCACGGCACAGCTAGACGTAGCAACCAGGCACTGATAAACAGCAGTTTACCACAATTGCCCTCCATATGCCAACACTGCAGCATTCATCTCCTGTGCTGTTGTGGCTGCTTGACCAGTAACTCTAATGGTGCTTCCCTGTGCTTCCCTTTGAATGCCTCTGTCTGTAGAGTTGCAGCTTTGTGGCTGCCACTTGGAAAAGCTGGGTCAAGACCACAGCAATGGTTCCACAGCAGCAGCTGTTCCTGTCCCACATCAATGTCTGCAAAATATTCTCCGTTCCTCAAGTATTTTATGTACCTCCTATTAAAAAAAAATATGCTTGAATTACCCTTAGAACATTTCAGATATTCATCCCTGTGCCTTCCTCCCTCCCCCTTTTTCTTCCTTTTAGATGACCTGCAGATACATGAAAACTGAGGAGACACAGCCATGAGTTGAACTCTATATCAGTGTGGAACAGGCTATGTTCAGAGCCCTTTTCACTTAAATGAGCTGAATAACATTTGATGTAAGGGTGTGTTTCCTCCTTTAGCCAAAGTTCTCCTAATTAATAATTAGGGAAAGGTGTTGTAGTCTGGAGAATTTTTTTTTTTTTTAGGGTATGTTTTGATTTTAAGTGAACAGTCCCCTCCCTACCCTGTTTCTCTCACCTAGAAAGTTTCGCCAGGACCCAGTATTACCAGCAAGCTTTGGAGCAACTGAACAGCAATCCTGATGCCCTGGAAGCCCTGGGTGCCCCCCCTCTTAAGGTTCACAACATCCGACTGACAGATGGGAGTAATCGCGTAGACACAGAAAGAGCACAGGTAATGCTGGGGAGGTTGGTGTCACAGGGTGGCTTCCCAAGATGTCAGGTGACAAGAGATCAGCCAGGGGATTTGGTGACCTGATCAGAAGCTCACGAGTCACTTGAGGACACTGAAAGGCAGTAGAATAGGATACTGGTTGATTTGGAAGAGGAATGGATTTCTACTAGAATAGAGACAGCAATAGCAGCACCTCCATGTTGTGCTATATGGGCACATCTCAGAATGCCAAGGGACCTCTCAAGCCAGTCGAGAGCCCTCCTGCCACTGTAAGCCACAAAACCATTTTCAGAGGCGTATCAGATCCAGCTTTAAAATAGCACCTGTCTCCCTTTCCCTGCCAGATATGTCCCATGCTAGTTTTTAAAGTTCAGAGAGAAGTTTTATAGCCGCTATGCTGTGGTACAGCACAGTTGGTGTGGTTTCTAAAGGCACCTGTAAGTTTGTGTCATGGGGAACAGCTGCCCAGCCTGAGACTGAGCGCGTGGGTTACACAGCGACTGGAAAATGCTGCGCTGCGTGTGAAGTCTTGCACAAGGCTGCCTTGTGTCAGCCCAGGGATGGGCCCAAGCAAACCTTGCAAACACAGGTCCACCTCCACTCAGCGTTGCTGCCTGAAGAGGACTTTTCCATCAATGTTTTTACCCCTTAATCCAGGGCTAGTTGCCCTTCCCTCGTTTGCTGGTGACACAAAACGCCCCTAACGACTCTCCAGGTCATTCACTGGGGTAACTTGTCACATCAGAATAATTTTGTTCTTCCTGTTGAGTAGTTCTGAATTTTGGGGACCAAGCAAGGGCATTAAGGAATGGGTCAGACAGTACAATGAAGGAGAGGGACTGCCAGGGCAAGATAAAACCCCCGCCTTTAACCAACTCAAATAAAATTCCTTTCCATTTCGCTCCAGGTAGGCTGCACTCATGTGATACCCTGTGCCAAAATGTTTCCCGGGTTTTATAGATTCTGCCAAGAAACATATCTAAGGAAAAAAATGTGCAAAACCCCACACAGTCTCTTATGCTGACTGAAAGGAAGATTAGCTTTCCTACTGGTGTTTTCTTATGTCACTGTTTAAGAATGCTGGTCACTTGGGTGACTCAGGATGAAGTCAAACTCTGCCTTCTACCGACCTCACCCAAGACACAAGCCACCAACTTTCTTCTCCACTTTTTCATGCTCCTAAGCGTTCATGTTCCCATGAAATAAACTGGTTAATCCTCATTGTACCATAGGTCAAGTTACTGACTCCACAACATTCCCATCTCCTGGGTCTGTTGGAGAACACCTGGCATTTTCTCTTTGTGATTGCAACACCACCAGCAAATGCTACACCCGAAACATATTCTTTTTTTTTCAGACATTAGACCAAGTTGGCCATGGTCACTGCTGCAGCTCCAGCTTTGTTTGTCAACAACTGAGTGATAAAATTTGTAACACTGAAAAAAAACAAACCAAACACCACTGAAAATCTCGTTGCCTTGGTGTGTGTTAGGGGACTCATATGCAGAGGATCTCAACCTAATGGCTTGTTATGGTTATGGGAAGCTCTAACAGTGCAGGTCACCTCTGGATGACCATGCATTCTGGTAAGGAAAGGTGTTTGCTCATAAATATTTCAGAGAGCGAGTGGTTTTCCCTGGGGGTTGCAGCTGTAACACAGTACATTCTTTCAGCAGAGAGAGATTAATGCATGGCAGAACAGACATACTTGTGTAGCCACACACATGTTAGCTGTTAGAATAGCTTGGTCAGACTCTGAAATACGGCGAAAAACATACTTAGAGTTTAAGGCAAAGAGCTGTTGAGTCTTTAACTGCAGAAGGAGCAAATGTCCTTTTTGCTTTGCTGAATCTTTAACATGCTTTTACATTTGCAGATAAAGTTACCGGTATCTGGAACAAAATCAGCGGGATACCTCTACATTAACTCGGAGATGGACCACTCCCGTCAGTGGTGCGTACCGGGGGAGGTGCCGGGAGAAATGTCTAGATGCAGGGAAAGAAGGGGGTAGGAGAGAAGAGTAGAGCAGGATATTTGCTTTAGTCATCCGTGTTGCTGAGATCATGCACACAAAGCAAGCGGAAACTCCTGTCTCAAGGTCTTGTGAAAGGTCATTAACATCATTATGACTAAAATGTAAATTAGTTGAGAAACATATTGAATTCATCTCTCTGAGTGCCAACAGAAGAGCAACACACGAGCCATTCTTTTGTGTTAAGTGTGTTCTGCAAACTGTAGCTTTGTACACATACAAATACTATAAGCCAAGGTAATGCATTGTTCCCTCCCAATTCTCCTCCCCACGGAGGTGCAGAGGCTGTTGAACAGCAGTCCTAACTCTAGTCTAGTATGGATTGCAGTAGGCGAATCACACATTACACCAGAGCCATGCAAGGCAAGCTCAAAATGCAGGATTTTTTTTTTTTTTTCATTTCATAAATATGGTCCTTATGGTTAAAAAAAAGAAAGTGCTAGAACCGATATATTATAGTTGAAGAATGCTCTGATTCCACATCGTATGGAAGTGACTTTACGGTTTTGTAGTACCGAAACCTGAAAACCTCCTTTGTCAAGGGTAAACTGGTTTCTAGAACTGGACAAGGAATTACTACGTGAATTCAAAGTCCATCTTCCACTGCAAAAGACTAAGTTTTATTAGATGCAAAGCTCTTGTTAGGTACTTCTGTTAGCTCTGTTTGAAAACCAAAAAGCTACAAAACTTTAACTCAGCTGCCACCAGCATATGGTAATGTTTTCTTTTCATAATTCGATGAGCATGACTTACAGGGTTTCTCTTCTGAGTAAGTACAGGAAGTAAAGTGTAAAACGATGTGAGGAAGGCACTGGACTGGGACTTGAAAAACTCAGTACCAGGCCTGGCCTCCTCCCTAGTGACCAGAGATAACTCTGGAGGTCCCCAGCCACCTTTCTTGCACACATCACTTCCCTGGTGCCTCAGCTCTGCTCTCCTTACTCCCCCTTAGCCTCTCACAGACTAGGGAAATAACAGTTCCCTGATATTCCATGTTCACAGTAAGGATAACTGAAGATTGCAAGGTACTGAACTATGTTAATGCATACATATCTCTCAGAGTTTTTCTTTAAAATGCTTTTTAAAAAGTTTTTTAAAGCTCTCCATGAATTTCTACAAGCTTAAGATAAAAAAAAAACACAACCAAAACAAACAAACAAACAAACAAAAAAAACCAAAACAAAAAAAAAAACCAAAACAAAACCAAGTGTCTTCTTGTAAGAGGATTTATGGCAGATGAATCTGTTGGACTCAACCAACTTCGTCTGTGTGCAAGGTCCTGTGTACAGCTTGTGGGGCTAAGGCAGGACTTGAGGTCCTTGCACCCAGACGAGGAGCTAACAGTAAAATGGCTGGGACTAACAAACATGTAAACAGGCTATCCTGGTGGAATTCCACAGTATATGGGTGTGTGCTCTTCCAGTGGTGACTGGGGAGGCAGTCAGGCCCATACGGACAGAGGTACATGACACCGGGAGTTGAGTGCTCTGTGCAAGAGTAGTTTAGTCTGCCCATAGGGGTTTATTTGTTTATAAAAGAGAAGGCAACTGAAAAAAGGGAAATCTGGAGTCTGTGAGCTCATTTGGAGCAGGAGGAAAAGGCATTCGCTCAAGCACAGGCAGTGCAGGGGTAGGGAGGGTGTCCAGAGGTGAGGGCGACCAAGGCACCAGTCGTGCAAAAGGACACTTGCCTGCCCTGAAGTGAACTGAGGGAAGGGCTGAGACCCCAGGCCATGCTGTGGGGAGGGAGCAGTTCCTCCTTCAAACCCGGTTATAAAGGAGGAATTTGCTTGTTCTGGGTTGGGGGTGGAAGCAGAGGGGGCAAAGAGCCCTGCTGCAGACCCACTGCACAGAGGTGCAGCAGCCTTATTACCTAATTTTATGTACTCAGCACTGACTCCAGCAAAAGCAGAGCTGGGCAAGCACCAGGACCTTTTGTAAAAATCCTGTTTTAGTACCCCAAAATAATAGTCCTTTCCAGCTGGAAAAGCAGCATGACCAGTCTCTCAGAAGTGGGTTTGGAGCAGAGCTTAGAGGAAGGAAAAGACTCCCCCTCAGTCTCCAACAAATGCAGTTTTCCTTCTTTGAGTAACCACTGTCGTACCCTGTCAGGGTTTCAGCAGTCACATTGAGCGATCACACAGTGTTCAAACTCCTCCAAGCCAGGATAATTCCTTAGCAACACCGTCTGGCTCCAAGGCCAGAGAGGAGTGGAGCAAAGGAATGTAGCCGCAGGATGGAGAGGAAAAAAAGGCAATGGGTTGGGGGAGGAATGTCCTATCTAAGAAGAGCTAGGATTTTATTTGAGTTGCAGCAAATAGGAAACAGGCATCCCAGACCTTTGAATCTGGGCTGTGCTATGCTGTTAGGGAGAACAGCTTTCAGAAGCTGGCGCTCGCAAACTGAGTTTTAAAGCTCTTGAGAGAATTTTTAAAAGCAATGAATGTGTGGAATGATTTGTTTCTCTGTGCCAGCTATTTCTACGCTGACTTTACTATTGTATTAAAAGTGATTGATACGAGTTAAAAATCTGCTTTGTTTTGTGTCAGCTGGTGCCTTCAGGATGTCACCTTGAAACTACGGGATGGTCAGAATATCCCTGTTTACCCCTCCCCGGTGGAAAGCTTTGGTGTGCAAGAAGGCTAAAAATCAGAGACAGCTGCCTCTCCACCTCCCATTGAGCCAAAGGAGCCATTAATCGATTGCATCCTGCTGTGTCCATGAATGTACACAGTTGTCACAAGTGACAGTTTCGCTTAAGTGGGTGCTCTCAAGACAATTTTGTCCCTAAGATCGACCTCATCACTGTTGTAATTGTAATTTCTTTCTTTTGCTGGTTCATTCATGTGTTCAACAGAAGCCTAAAATAAATACCTTGCAAAAGGCTTGCTGCTCCAGAGAAGTCACATGTTATGCCCTGTGTGTGCTGGTATTATGAATTTGAAATAAATAAACAAACTGCCAGGAAACTTTAGCTTTGTTTTACAATTGCAGACCGAAGTCAGGACAGTTGGGCTGCTGTGTCATGGCCAGAAGACCAAACCAGCTTCTCAAAACGATTCCCTCGCTCCTTCAGTTCTCGCTCATTTCTCAGCAAGCTGTTACCTAAATCAGGAGCACTGAAGCAGCAAAGGTGAAGCTCAGCAGCAGCACCCTCCACGCCACGTATCAGGTAGATTTTCTCCATTACAGATATAATTAAAAAGTACATGAAATAGCTGAGGCTATTCCTTGTAACTTAGGAATTCCAGGAAGAGACTCCCTGCTCACACTGAGGGTCACTCAGAAGAAGCCGCTGCCTCACACTGGCACTGCGTGACACGAGTTCAGGGGAGGACATTTACTTAGGGGGGAGAACACTCAGGAGGTGCAGAACACACAAAGTACTGCCACAGTTCACTCTGACTACAACAGGAGATTTCGACTGTGCCATAGTTCTGTCCGTCAGGTAGAGAACTGCCCAGCACCAGAACTAAGCTGAGGAATAAGCAAAAAAACCCACAAAACCCAAAACACAACCAAACAAAAAAACACAAATGACCCAAACAAACAAACAAAAACCCCAAATGCATGCATTTTCCACTCCCACTCCAAACTGCACGTGTGAACAATTGCAAACAAAGGCACAGTCTGAGACACTGAAAAAACACAAGTAACTGTCCTGCCTTCATGCTTTAAAGTAACACGTGAGCCATTAAGAACATCCAGACAGAAGAGTATTTTGGGTTCACTCTAACAGAGATGCTTAATCAAGCTGCAGCTTGGGAAAGCCCAGGGCTTATATCACTCAGTTCCTTTTTCTTCCCTCTCAATGTCTTCATCCAAATTTGAGTCCTGGAAACCCACTTGAGGCAGAGGCACTGCAAAGCTTTTCACAGAAAAGGGCAAACTAAATCAAAGAATCATTGAAAAACAGTGGGCATTTTCTTGTTCAACAATGAGCCAGCAAGTTGGACAAGGTGACCTCTGAACAAACCTGAAGAGCAAATGCCGCAGTAAAAAGAAGGAGGAATTAAAGGACCACAGCAAAGGCATCTTGGACAAACAATTTCAGAAAGAAACAATACACACGCTGCAGTTTGAACTTCACAAAGAGCTGTCAGGATGAACAGCTCTTGGGAGACCTGATCCAACCTGCCTGAAAGCCCAGCAGACCAGGGAGAAGATTAGGATGAATCAAAGAGAGGCAGCATTACCCAGATGGTTTTGTAAAGCGAAATACAAACCATGTGATTTCAAAACATCAGCCGTGCACTACTGCAGCCCACCTAGCAAGAAGAACACCTGAGAGATACAGAGATCTCCTGGCCACCTGGTGTCTTGATCAACTCTAGCTTTTGGTCACTGAAGAAGTTTGGTGGGGAGCCAAACAGTTGACAAGAAAAAGCCAAATAAACCACTTCCCATCCATCAGTTACCGCTTCCCTGGCTGCAGCTTTGAGTTCTTACTAATCTCTATAGATGATGTGGCTGTGGAGAGCAACCCCAGCCTGTTCAGTCAGACGTAGTCCCTCCCTCTGTCTTCACTGGCTGCATCTGGCACACATCGCCGTTCCTCTGCATTTTGTCACCTCTGTGTGCTTAGTAAGCCCGGAGCTTGCGATGGCTGCCAGGTGAGCGAGTGTCCAGGAAACCTGGCCATAGCCTGCAGCACAATGCTGGCTCACCACCTTCTTGGCTCTTCAGCTGGCACACACAAGATCTCCACTCTGGCTTCACAAATTGCTGCACCACACCACCACCGCATGGCCTGGCTCTGACCCTGGGTTTTCCAGACCTGGAAGGTGTATCCCCACACAAACCTTACCAGTAATGCTGGAGATTACCTCTCTTGGGGGAAGCAGAGGTTTCATCTCTCACTTTCCCCCTAGAGACCCAACAGAGCACCCCTTTAACTTTGAGGACTCCCAGTCATCCAAACCAACCAACAGGGTCACCAGAGCCGTAGGAACGGGCAGTATCATCATAGCATACCAATTCTCCAAATCTTTAAACCCAGAGGAGTAAGAAAGCAATGGGTGGAGCTGGAAGCCAGCAAACCAGTGCAATGGGACAAGAGTAAAATCACAATCAAATCCCTGCCTTTGTTTTATTACCAAAGAGTCAGCAAACACAGAATTTCTTACCTCATGACCTTGAGGAGCTGCAGAAGTCACTTCCTCTCCGTGTTTGAGCTCTTTTTGCACATATTCAAAGGGAGGAAAAAAAAACCTCAGCAGGCTGGTGCCAAGCTGCTTTGGCCATGTGGCTCCCATTAAATACATCACAGCCCACAGCTGCTTTCAGGGAGGACACAGGTGCAGCAGGAGCAGGCAAGGGAGCTGGAACATGCCAGGAAAACAGGGAGAGCAAAGGTCTCAAAACACAGCAGCTGCTGAAAGCCCAAACAACTTCAAAAGGGCACCTGGGCCCTTTGCAGTCTTTTCTTCTAAGGAACACTGGAGCACATTAAGTTCTATTTAACTTCATTATGTCACTGAAACACTGATTTAATTTTTATTGGGAAAATATTCACCTTTTGATGAAAGACCCTAGATCCCACAGAACAACTAAGGTTGGGAGGAGCTTTGGGAGATCATCTAGTCCAAGTGTTTCATTCCCACCCAGGTCAGCTAGAGCGTATTACCTGGGACCGCATCCAGTCAGCCTTCGAAGATCACTGAGGATGGAGACTCTATGCCCTCTGGACAAGCTGTGTTCAACCATTCTCACATTAAAAAAAAGCTTGTTCTTATGTTTAAACAGAATTTCATGTGTTTCAGTGTGTGCCCAGTGCCTCTTGTCCTGCCACTGGACAGCACTAAAAAGACTGTGGCTCCATTCTCTTCAGTCTTCCCCCACACTGATAAGATTCCTTGCTGAACCTTCTCTTTTCCAATTCCAAGTCTCTCACCCTTGTTAACAGGTGCTGCAATCCTTTAACCATTTTAATCATGTTGAGTACGTTAAATAATTTCTTTTTAATTGTCTTGAAAATTTGCATTCCTTTTCCAGTTGTTGGTGTGGTTAAAACAAGCATCATTGTCACGACCGACCTTCGCTGGATTGCGTGTTTGTTCCTCATTCTCTAGTTTGATTTTAATTGCTTCTGCCAGGCAGCCATCACCCTCAAGGAAACTATCAAGGTGGCAGACTCTTCAGACTTAATTTACAGCTGAGGAACAACAAATATTGTTCCAACACTTGAACCTACTTGAGTTGGACCCAACTAGCACACAGGGGCAGTGTAAAGCCAGATGTTGTAAAAGCACAACCTCCAGAAAGGCTAAGCGGGCTGACATGTTCCCTTTTGAATATGTTTCTCCGAGGATTAATAGTTTTGCCCAATTTATGGGCCACTCAGTTAACTTTGTAGCTTGGGCAGATGTCTTGCATTGCACTGGGAACACAAGTCATTTGGATTCATCTCTCATTTAGAAATGAGAACGCATCCAGTTGTTTCTTGCATCTTTCCTGCTTGCCAAAGAAAAATCATTTTCCTGCATGTTTTTTGCAAAGTTTGCAAGTTTCCTGCAGCAGGGCCCAGGCAGTCCTGTAACACAAGGAGCAACGGAGACCCACACCAAATTTTTGGTGTTATTTTGGAAGACACATCACACCTGGCCAAATGCCTTTGGTTCATTTTAATTAGCACCAATTGTATAAAAATAACAGAATGATGTAATTTCTTAAGCAGCGTAGTGCTGTTTCTGTTAATTTGCTTTCCTGGAGGACTTAGGAGCAAGCACCTTTATTCAGTAACTTCTGTGAGACAGTCTTTGCCTCTCTTTGCTTGGTAAGGCCCACAACAAGGACTTCCATCCAGTGATTCCAGACCAGCTGGATCTCACAGGGTGCTACTGGAAGGTGGTGGACAGTAAGGTGATATACCCCGGCAGCTCAGGAGTAGTGAAAAGGCACCTGTGTAATTCAGTCTGTACGCTGGCATTACAAATTAATTGAAGAGATGGGGTACACTGATTTCAATGCATCACCAGCTTAGCTGTGATTCTGATTGCACAGGCAAGCAAAGACTCAATTAAGTTCTCCGTGTTTACAGGAAAAAGGATAATCCCTCCAAGTGGTTCCCTTTCCTCTCCTAATTTTGTTGTGCTCCTAACGCTCTGCTTCACCTTGACAAATCCTAACCTTTCCTTAATTAAGAGAGATTTTTACACCCATATGGACCTAATTTTTCTCTGTTTTATAAAGCTTCAAGGTTGCATTTTTATGGAACCAAAATATTTTACTTTAGCAAAGCTCTGCAGTTGTTAGCTGTCTTGTAACAGGAACGATTAATGAAATTAAGCAATGTTAGAAGAGAAAATGCCTTTCCAGAGAAGAAGAAATGGTTTCCTCCCCCTAGGGTCATCACCTAGGATCTAGCTGATGCTCTTACTTTCCCCACAGAAGTGGCATCAGGCAAATAACGCAGTTCTGGACACAGCACGTTTTGGAGGGGATATCAAAATTTCACTGCCTAGGAGCAGACACGACACCACAATTGGTTAAACCTGGATAAATGCTGATTTGTAGCTGCTCCAACCTGTCCTGGATACACAGCTGTCAGTTGTACATTGCACAGTTCTTGGCATTTAAATACCATCTTGCCAACCGCACATCCTCAGGCAGGTCATTTCCCACCTCTTCAACATCTAAACCAACAGTCCTAAATCTAATGGAAATGTACTTCCAGGTTTAGTACAGACCAAGAAAAACCCAGGAAGATTTACATGGATAATGTGACTATATTCATCAATCCCAAAGACAGCTTAATTCAACATCACTAAATGCTCTGTTGTGAAGATCTCTACAGTGGAAGCACGTTGCTTTAGAGTGGAAAGGATGATTGGTGCATCTTATATGCGCTGCAAAAATGGAACAAATATATAATTCAGAAAAACGAAAATATCAGTAATCCTTCTAATGAGCGCTGAGAGAAATAACTTCACAATAATCCTTGGAGAAAAGCAAGAGACTCCATGTAGCAATACTACAACTCAGATCCAGCAGAATATTTCTAGCTAGTAGTCAGAGCCAGGCATAAAGGTGTGCGGTCACCCAGGACAGAAGAGTTTAAGTTGCGGTAATTTGCAATGCAGCACTGTGCTTCAGCTTTATTATTCATTTCAGTCATCATGCAGCTTATCCTGCACCAGACAAACCAGTGTGACTTTCTGGAACTCAGTTTCTAACCAGCAATGCTGTTTTGAGGAAAGATCCTGGGGTTTAAGTGTTTCCCAAAGCACAGAGAACAACAGACTCATTAGCTGTTCAGAAAACAAAATTTCATTTATTGTAAAGTTCCTGAAACAGTAAACGCCTTATCAGAAGTACAATGAACTGGCAATATTTCTTTAAAATGTTGAACTGTCTTCCAGGGACAACACCTGAAATATCCAAGAGAGATCTTAAGCCATGGAGTAACTTGGTGCAAGGCCTCCCTCCCCATTCCCTGCGAGCACCATCAGTGGAGAATGGGCAGGTAATTTTTATTTGCATTTGTGACTTAACAGCTCTCAAGATTCACCTGGTGGATCATAAGCTGGGACAAGCTTGTACTCAGGGACCCGCAGATTAAAAGCGTGACAAATGAGACAAATCACAATACAAATTCAGCTTTGGACAAACCCAAAAATATTATTTTGTAGAACTTTTTAATTTAGCGACTATAAAATCTATAGCCTCTTACTGAAAGAGGCGAACATAGCAACAAGAGAAGACAAGGCTGTGCTTTCAGGTAGGTGTTTGCTATTTATTCCAAAAACTGCAAGAGAGGCCTAAGCGTGGACCTACCCCTCCTATTGACACAGTTCATGGGTCTTGCAACAGAACCATAGACATAACAACTCTCTAGGAACACTGCCTTTCCACTCCTTCAGCATCCTGCATCTCAGCAAACAACAGCCAGCAGGTGCCCCGTTTGGAGAGCAGGGACTGGGAGAGCATTGCCCACAAGGTCCAAGGACTCGATTCCTTCTCCACACCAGCCCCTTTCCCACCAACACAAGCAGCTTTTTTTCAGATGACTTGCATATGTAGACACAGCCCTCCGTGTTCACAGAACTGTGGAAAACCAGCTCTTCCACACAAACTAGCAATTTGTTCCCAGTCTTCCTGATGTGTTGCTTCACTAGTAACTGAACCTCTCAAAACCATGGACCGCAACAGCCCCTTTCTACAGTGTAGGGTACGAACACCTCATTTTCAGCTTTACCCACGCTCACAGTAGAACACAAACGGCTTCAAGAGTGTGGGACTGGCTGATAATCCTGCAGTTAAATGTTATGGAAAATTTTCCCTGTTACAGGGTGAATCTAAGATGCCTTGTTTATAACTTATACTATTAAACTTTCACAACTTCATACAAATTCTTAATGACATTAAAAAACACCCTATAAAACCACCTTAAGGCACAAAAAGTTAAACAAATGCAGCCCACTCGAAATCTCAAAGCAGCCAATTCAAGAGAAGCTGGCCTTGTAGTAAGTTTACAGTTCATGTATACATGTTAAGCTTCACTGTCATACATTAAATACTGTGTATCTAGGACAAAATGTACACTGCTCAGCACCTACTCTTTTCCATTAGTACCAGTCTCCATCTGAGACATGATCTGCGGTTACAAAGAGGAACTGAAATAGTTCAAATGATTTGCTGTGAAGAACCATGAGTTATTAAGCATTTATGTATGAGGCAACATTTTGCACGGGTGGGCTGTGAGTGTGCTTCAACCTCACTGCTTTGCTCAACTTTGTAAAGTAAGGAAGCACAGATGTACAAAAAAAAAAAGTCAAAGCGGCAGTGGTGGAAGCTGGGAGAAACTGTAACCTTGCACAGAAGGATTTCATGAGTCAGTGTCCCCTCACCCAAGCAAATTGTCTTGGGCAAATGACTGGACAGTAAAAGAAAGATGCTCATGAAAGGTACGGTCCTGCCTAACAACCCTGAAACCGATCAGCACTGTAGGAAGGGTCAGCTACCATCTGCCTCCAGAAACACCCAGACAACACCAATACTCTGCTGGCTCTAAGATTCGTGTCTAACTCCTGCTGACAGCCAGCCTGAGCTATCAAGCAACTGACTCATTTCTCCAGAGCACGAAAGGCATCTCTGCATTACAACACAAAACACATCCAAATTCAGTTCTTAGTACTACTGGGTGTTTTCTTATATGAAGGTCTTCAAGGAGTAAGAAGCTGCCCTACCTGTGTGAATACTCAATATGTAATTCCTTAGGGGAAGAAGCCTGATAGAACCGTTCAGTTTTTCTGATGTGGCTTGAAATGAAGGCAACCCGACCTCTGGCCACAAATCCTTACAGAAAACTACCCACTCAGCATCACACGGCTTTTGGTTCAGCTTTCTTCTGTACTACAGCTTTTGGCCCCACCATTCCAGCCCTGCTGATCAGATCACCCCAGTACTGCTGCTCTTGTTAAGAAGCCATTTAACTTTTGTGTGAAGGAGGAACTGAAATCTTAGCACAGAGCCCTGAACTCCTGCTCACTGAACAGAGTAAGAACATTTGATACATCTGAAATTAGGAAAGTCTGTAGCAACATGGAAAAGAGGGAAAAAAACTAGCTTAAGAGTTTCTATTCATTGTTTTATAGCAAGGAAACTTTTGTCAGTTTATTATAAAGGAACAGCATAGGGAAACCAAATAAATAGTTGAATAGTTAACGGTATGCAATATAATAGTACTAAACTTCAAAATTACATAAAAATTAAACTTTGGAACAGCATCAATATGAAAGATTTCTTAGAAAACTAGGACTCAGTCCAAGATCCTCAGATTTGTACATTGCAAAAACCACTCAGTTTTGATGCCCAGTCGGTTCTAAATTTGTCCTCTGAGGGACCGCGTCCATTGAGAACTGTGACCCATCCATACTGCTCCCTAATCCCACTCTGCCCCACCACACAACATGCTGTTTATCCAAGTGTCTGAAGGGGAGTGATCAGGAGGAAGGAGGCATTAGCTGTGCTTTGTTGTTCCAGGGGAACCGGTATGTTCTTCCTCATGTGATAGCTATATTGAACAAGCTAATGCAATTTAGCCTAAGGATGCTTCTTTCTTCCTTAAAGGAAGAAAGAGGAACAGAGAGACGGCAGAAATGACCTCATGCTCCCAGTAAAACCACAGCCAAGTGCTGAGGGAGGTGGAATCAATTAGTTGGACATACTGTCTAATCTAACATGGTGAAGTAGTGGAGAGAACTTCAATAACTTCAGAGGAGCTACATCAGACTCCGTAATTCTTTTCCCCTCTCAGTCACACTGAGCTGGGTTCTACTGGCACATCTCACCCAGCACAGGAGGGGAAGGGAGCAATCTCAGCTGCCTCATGAGTGACTGACTTAAGCCAACACATCATCTTCAGGAGCAGGACTTTACTGTGCTCCCAAATAAAGATGTATCTCCAGCACAGATTCCTTTACCTGTGGGACACGAGCATCTCTTCCTAGAGAAGAGCAGCCCAGTGTTTGGGCATATGTCATATGAGTCCAGGTCTTTGTTTACATCTTCCTGATGGAAACAAAGAAACATAAGGATTTCAAAATCATACCGTGTGTATGTCGAACCAGTCGATCAAATTCTCCTCTCGTACAAGTTTTAGATCAGCAGATAGTTCCACTAAAGTCAGGAGTGCCAAGAGGCATCTGAGGAAAACCCAGCATTATATATTTGCATTAAATGGCAAAACATGTCCTAAAATCCTCCTCTTGACATCTGTCACCGAAACACTTCCAATGTCAACTTCTCCAGAACACTGGAACAATTAACAAAAACGCTGTTACCAAGCAACAACAACAACAAAAAAACCCGGAAATAAAAATTACAAACAAAAATAAGCTTATAATCTTTGTTAAACTCCTTCCAGCCACTTGAAATCTTGTTTATCTGTTCCATGAAAATAAGAACTTGGCACATTTTCCTTGTATGCCATTTATCAACACTGTCTTTTATCTAGAACATTTATTGCATATCAGAAATTCACTTGGCTAGGATACTTTTGTTTAGTAGAAAACATTGCCTCCCAGTTATAGCTATGAAGCTTCACTCACACAGTTCAGTAAATGAATTCTCCTGGTATTTCCTGCAGCAATGGTTCCTCAAATTTAAATCGTTTGGAAATGGCTTTCTGCTCAGTTACTTTTTCTTTTTCTGACTGCCTACATTGTCCCAGTGTATATGAAGCCACTACAATGAGTTCTTCTGTCACTATTGATTCTTCCTCTTCGGTCTTCTCGGCATCTACTGATTTTTCGGAGGCAGAATCTGAATCTTTCTGGGTGGCATCACTGGTCTCCCCTCCTGCACTCTTACTCCAGGCCCTGCAAGCAGGATTATCACTTTGTGCTAACCATGGATGTTGAAGACATTCTTCTGCAGTTGCCCGATCCCTGCAGAGGAAAAAAAAAAAAAGCACTAAAATAAACATCCAAATTAATGCAAAATCCAGCCCCTTGCAGAAGAGATCCCTACAGATTATTCCAAGGATATGACTGTATTAAAGACACACTGATAGAACAGGGGGGAAAAAAAGCACATTGTCAGCTATCTTTTACCAGAAGAGACCAAGAAAATGAACTGCTGGCATTTAAAACAAAGGAGTTCATGAAACCCTAAATACAAGTTTATGCTCCCATGTTGCCAACCAACTTTCAAAGTTTATTTTATACAGGTTTTTTTTTTTTTATATGTATAGGAAAATTATTCAACCCTTACATTCTTCAAGTATTCCCACAGACAAGCTGTAGGCAATTTCAGTAGCTGACATGCCCCATGAAAAAGTGGTGAAGTTCCACAGAGAGCAGCTCTTCTGTTTAGAGACCTGGAACTTCCAATTTGCTGCCCACTGACTGACTAAAGGGCACAAATGAATCAGAAAAGAGCAAGGTACTCTATCAGCTAAAACGAAGGACTTAAAGCACAGTTCATTTAAAAGACTTCAGCAAAGTACCTGCAAGAAGAATCAGTATGCTGTAATTAACCATATACAGTTTTCTGAAACTAATTTGAGTTTTAATTACTAACACTTATACAAGCTTGGATGGAAATGGAGGAATTCTCTTTTCATATACATAAACAGTAACAGCAGAATGAAATCAAAGTTCCATTATAGTTTAAAAATGAAAACACTCGCACTTGCTGCATTTGAAATTAATTCAGTCTGACATGTTAGCATATACAACTGTGTATTTTACTTACTCGGGTTTCTTAACCAGCAGAGTTTTGATGAAATCCACAGCAGACTCTGATACAAGGTCAAAGTCCTCTCCAGAGTAACTTATGTTCATTTGAGATATATTTAGGAATGTTTCTTGTTTATCATCCCCTAAGAAAGGCGATATCCCTGTTAGCATAACATATGCCAGTACTCCAATGCTCCTAAATTTAAAGTAAAAAAAACAGAAAAGCACTTTGTTTTAGTTTGCCTTCTTTTCCTAAAAAAACCCAAACAACAACCCTTTTCAGTGAAGTTATGATGACCATTAATCTGTTCAACTTACCACATGTCAGTTGCTGTACTGATTGGGTCGTAACTCAGAATTTCAGGAGCTATTGAGGGGGGAAAAAAAGTGGGCTTTGTCATTTGCAGACATTACATTAGAGTTCTATAATGCAATAATGGGCATGTGGTGAAATTTAAGGTAAGCCATCTGAAGCATAACAGTCTTTTAAAACTAAGATATTTCTGTTCAAGTTAAGTGATTTCTATAATTTTAAAGTATATATATAAAAAAAAAATGTTTTCCTTTATTGCCATCTTCAGAAGCCAGGCCAGGCTCCTTCCCAATTAAGCAATCTGTAAACACATTTCCTCAAGAAAAACCGGAAATATCCAATATTCCATATTCCAGCACTGTAACCTAACCCATAACCATGAAGACATACCACACCAGTTAAAGGTATTTTCAAGCATACTTTCAAGGCCTGGAATGGTTTGGGCTTTAAACAAAACAAAACATAACAAAACAAAAACACACAAAAGATACAAAGCTCCACAGGCTAAAACATTGTATTCAGAGACTGAATATGTGAATTTAAACTTATAATCCAAGTAATACTTGCTATCATCATGGTAAGAATTGTCTAAAGCATGTACTCCAATACAAGCACACAATCACTGTTCATCAGATAGGCAAGACTTGCCAGTTCTATCTTTCAGAGCAGTGCCACGTCCAAGGGATAACTCCATCTTGCAACACTGTAAGGACACAGCCAGTCTGGCATTTTCAAATGGAGGCAGTTTCTCTTTTCACTCCCCAGAAGCCTGGACTATAGATCACTCCTACAGTAACAACTTACCGACGTATTCCGGAGTTCCCATAATTTCTCTTAGTTCCTCGCTGCTCTTCATTATTCTGGAAAGACCAAAATCTACTATCTTAATGTCTCCCAGAGGGGACTTACTGGTTAGTAGAATATTTTGGGGCTGAAAAACAAAAGAAGACTTTCAGGATCACCCGAATCTAGTGCCTATGACATCATATTGCATAATTATTTCAGATCACGAGTAGCATAATGTCTTCCACAACGAGTACGACACCCAGGATCATTTATGTATTTCGCTCAAGGTGATCTTGAAGAGACACGTAGGCTAAAATAAAAGGAGTGGCAGGATTTTCTGTTTAGAACTGAGGATCAAATCTTTGTTAGCTTAGAAGACATACAAAACACACGCCAATAGCTGTCTTCACGTTTGCACCTTTAGTCCTTTGTATCACCTTTTAAACTACCCTTCCTTCCCTCCTCACTTTCTTCCAACAAATGGGGTAAAATACCTCTCATTGAAGGGTGTCCAAAAATACCCAATCAGTTCAAAAACCCTGAACATCCAAAGCTATTCTGACTGCACCTTTTTAAAGAAGGTCTGTTGCAAGCGGCCTCAATCCTGTTCAAAGTACAAAACAATTGTATTACAGAACACTAACCAAAGAACAGTTTAAAAAAAATATAGCAGCCTGAAAAACAGGTTTTTAAGAGCATCACCTTCGGATAAACTTGTTTGTGCTGACGTCACTAGATCTTGGCTGTCTTCCTTCAAAGCACCTCCGTGGTCATGAAAAAGTTCTTTACTATTTTAAATGCTAGCTCAATTAAAAAAATCATCTGAAAACTAACTTTAGACAACAGGTCTTAGATTTTTGCAACTGAAGCATATCCTTGCCAGAAAAAAAAAAAAACACAAAAAACAACTGTGCCCTCCCCTGCCCCCAGGCCAGGGATCACACTGGGTTTTATCATTAACCTCTCCAAACAGCAACACTGACAACTGACACTGCATTCATGCCTCTGGTGAGCACAAGTTCCATGAAAGTGAAGGAACCTTTACTGGGAACCTGGATTTTGTCTTGCATCAGGGGGGTTGAAAAGGGAATGAACAGCAACGCAACCACGGACTGATAATCCAACTGGAGTAACACCAATAATTACATTTCCTCCCTAATCACAGAGCTGTTCTCTCCTCCATACGGTAAGTCAGTCATGAAGGCACGTGAACAATCTTGCTTTTGAACACAGAACGTTTTAAAAAACTTGGGCCAGTTCTCCTCACTGCAAGACCTGAATAAAGTCAACTTCTTTGATTCCTGCAAAGTTATACCGTGGTATTTCAAACGAACTCCATGACGTCATCAACTTATTTTCTGTTTCTAAACCTACATATTAAGATCAGCTCTCTGTTTTTTCTTCACAAACTGGGATCTACAAGGGCTTTTGGAGCGGCACATCACCATATACTTAATAGTTCACATTTGTTATTCTCTATATGTATTAGAAAAGCAAACATCCAAAAAAGCTGACCATATCTCCCTCATTACCCTCTCAGATCTTCTTCCCGCTGAGAAATCTAGTTTAGTTCTGAAGAGGCAAATTAAAAGCACGAGAAAAGTGTTTGTTCTCTACATTTCAATGGGGCAACATTTTTAATGGAAAAGTTTTGTGAAACCCTTCAGCCTTGTATTTAATATTTTAGTAGATTAAGTAGTTGCCAGAAGTAGTTCTTATTTTTTTAAATAAACTTCTACGAAACACACCTATGCAGAAAAAAACCCTCTGTCTACAGTATGAATTGAGTCATAGCTCTAAATCAACTCATAATGAGATACCAGTCATTTTCTTATTGTAAGGAATCATTATGGGTTTCATGTGAAGTGACAGTCTAAACACCAGTATGAAACCTTAAAGAGGCCATAGCTTTGAACTTACCACAGTTTTCAGCTGGACACCATTACTCTATAAAGTTTTCAGAAAAGGAAAATCAGTTTCCCACACCTGTAATGCTGTTTCTCTCTTTATTTTCACTGCTAGAATGCATCTCGGTTTGCCAAACGCTGATCAGCCCACAAAAGCAAGAGAGATGCAGGCTGGAGGCTCTCCTGGTGGACGTTCTAAAAAGGGCCTTTTCGCTCTTACCCTCAAGCACTTAATCAAAAAGCTGATGAAAACCATCAAATGTCAACACTTAAAACCCTCCCCATCTACTGCAGTGAGGCTTAAAGGTTCCAACTAAGGTCCTCTAATTTCTTGTACCTTTAGCGGGTTTCAAGAAGACACATAAGGACTAAGGACACATAATAAAGATCAGGTTTTTAAGCTAATCAATGCCTCACCAGACCTAACTCCAGTAATGTTGCAAGATATCTAATTTTATAACACCATAAAAAAATCACATCCCTAGAAAAAAAAAAAAAGACATGAATTATCCAAGAAAAAATGGGCAGAAACAGGAAAAACAGACTAGCTGAGATACCCAACTTCATTGTGTCTAAAGACACTAAACTAGGCTGAGCAGACTGACCTAAAAACATTTAGAGGATCCCCATATCTTTAAGAAATTCAAATGTAACAGCAGAGTTTGCTTGGGGGCTAGGTTTTTTTGTTGTGGTGGTTTTGTTTTTTGTTTTTGTTTTTGTTTTTTTGTAAATGTGTACCAGTGGAAAAAATGCAACAGTCACTAAAAGACAAGACATAGCAGGCTTGCATCGCAGTTTCTTTCCCAAAATAAGCAGTGCAAGTCCCATACACGAAGAAATACCCAGAACAGGCTCCATAGAACATGGATATTCTATACCTGCCTATTAACAAACAGCTTTGCTCTAATTGCTGTAAAGGTATGAACTCCAAATTAAAGTGGGTTTTTTTTCCTCTGAAAATTTACTATTTTCATTTTTTAACTCTTGTCTTAGTTTATTGGGTGTTCCTTTAGTAAAAAAATAACTGCACATCTATTAATACTACACTTCTGTGCAATAAACATTTCGCCTTAATCCACCTGGAAAACTCAGTTGAGAAAATTAGTCTGTGTTGTTACTCTAACAGGCCACTTTTGTAATTGCATTAGTTTGCTCTCTTAATATCGGTGTAAAGTGACACCCAAAACAATCTGAAATGATGATTTTGCTAGTTGCCATCTCTGAACACAACAGAGAAGAAGAAAGGGAAAGGCTGTCAGAGTAATATCCAGTGTAGGAGGGCGCTGCTTGGAGCAGTCATTCTCCCACACACAGGGCTCTTAATCTGTCTCTGTTGTGGACAAGAGGCAGCAAGTCCTTCCTCAGCCCCCACGCCTTAAATTCTCTTCCGTTCCCAACTCCTTTAAGCTTTTACCAAACACGAAGTCAAGATCAAGTCAAACAGCATATGAGAACACAGAGAAAGGAGTCTTCCCTTACTCTGCAGTTTTTATGCACCATTAAGAGGAGATGAAAGACTCCTGCCTACAACCTATGCACGCCCTGAAAATTAAATGGCATTAACACAATACTGTTAAGTGATACTTAATTTGCGCTCGGTAGCATTATATTTGCTCTTCCTCCAAGTCAAAACTGGACTATCTAATTGTATTTTGCTATTTAAAAACCAGCCATATTTCAACCATCTTTCAGTAAAACCGTGCTTTTGGAAAGAAATTATCAGGTGGCTACCTTGCTTAAGCCACATCAAAACACCCCATTTCTTCCTGCAGTGTTCAGTCTCATAGGAAAAATCTTCTCTTTATGAGGAGGGCATACAGAAGCTAAAGCAAGCCAGCTGTCAGTGTCGTAGATCAGGTTCACGCGATTTACAGTAAAAAACTACAACCACAAGCCAGCCATTACATACTGACAACCATTTGGGTTTAAATTCTGTGGGTGCAGAATTTGGCTTTTTATGGGAAATTGGATGTACCTTCCCAAAGGTATTTGTAAGGGACAAATGAAACGGAAATCTTTAAAGACACAGAGGTGAAGCTAATGGTACGAGGAAAACACTTCAGCAAGAATTTGTGAACTTTGCTATTGGCAAACACCTTGCATAACAGCAGTACGCATACATGTCTTCCAAATGTCATCACAAAATTAGTATTTACTCAAAATTTAGTATTTACTAAATTCCACGGTGCTTTAAGGCATGAGATAAAGCAGCACGAGACATGCTATACAACAGATGATGGTTTGAGGGCAGTGGGCTAACTAATACGCAGCCAAAACCAGCACCCAACTTAAATTTTTGAGTTCCTTGTAAAATAAGCCTTTTTTGAAAGTCTCGCAAGGCACATCAATCTAATCTTTGCAAGTCATGGTTTTTAACCCTACAGTGTCCATCACCTTTATTTGCCAATACTCTGAAGAGTATTAGTGTTCCCCAAACCTTATTTTGCAAAAGACTGATAATTTAATTTACCATGAAAATCATCACACTGCAATTAGGACTCCTATTAAGATCCCCCTTTAAAAACACATTGCACTCTGTAGCAATGCATAAACAGGTCACCCTCAACCACTATACAATTTGCTCTGCTAACGAGCTTTCTTAAGGCAGGAAAGCAATGCTGGATCTTTCAGTGAGAACTGCCTACGGCCCATTTTATAACGTAAGTTTTCTGATCAGTTGGACAGTTTTTAAGTAAGCATTTCCTGAACTTTGAAGAAGACACCTGTTCAAATGCTGTAATCAACATCCCAGTCTGCTTTTGCCAGTCATTTAAAACACATTTCTGATTACAGATGGTGCTAAGGAACACCACAGCTTTCACTACAAACATGTATGAATATATACTGTCTACAAAAGATGTTTTAATTTTAAACACTCTGCTTCAAGAAAAGTCAGCTGGCCAACCATTACAGAGACACTGAGTATCTTGCTGAAGCATCCTAGAACTTTAGGGAAGTCTAACTGCTCATTTTTAGTCTTTCTGAACACTCACTCTCACATTACTTGCTAAAAATTTTCCATTAATTATTTTAGTGCAATTATTAATATTCTGTGTGCATGACTCAAAGTTTTAAAGGATTCCACGTATACTTTGAATAAATGGTTGGAAAACCAGGCAGGTGACATATTTGTGTGCAAACATGACTCATGATCTGCTTTAGCTGGCGAATGGTTGATGATGTGCTAAGTTATATATTAAGTATGCACAGCTTGATACTGGAATCTACTGGTAGCTTTGTAATACAACAGCCAAAATACAACCAAGTAAGGATCTCAGTAAGAGAACAAACATGCAGCAGCCTACAACATACTTAGTAAATATGACAATAGGACATGCAAAAAAGAATTAAAAAAATTTTAATGCAAGTTGCTTTTTATACAGCCTTGCTTAGTAACAAACTAGTTGAACCTCATAATGAGATAGAGGTGCATCTTCCATATGAGTGTATGGATGGAAGCTGAAGAAAATTATCTACAGCTTTAGACAAGTTGGAGAGGATAGTTTTCTGGATCCCTGCTATAACTCCCTTCTTGGCCACGAGTGATACTTGTAATTTTGTATGATGGCAACTGTACTTTTCTCTTGATTTGGGTCAAAACTATTTTTCACTATGAAAAACTATTTACCCCAGTAAACTATGATACTTTATATACCAACAGGGTGTTGGCCAAATGTTTGGCAGCAAGTGGCAAACATTTAACTTACATTATACAGTTTTATCAGGAAAGAAGAAGGAACTGCTATAAATGTACTTAACACATATTTAACACATTACCAGTGCAATATGAACATTTCATTCTGAAACATTATACTTGATACTACCAGTGTCTCTGCCACCCTTCTGCTTCATTAAAACTCAATACAAAAAAAACCAAACCTGTTTTTCAATGGCCATATAATACCCAGACATTTTTATTGCACTTTAAAAATGAGTCAGGTCTTACCCAAAGCACTCATTTGCAATTAAAGGTGCAAGGCAAGTCCACTTTTGAATTCGCTGCACTTCACTTAATCAAGTGAAGTTTATATTTCACATAGTCACAGAAACTCTCCAAAAGGCTTGCAAGGCCCAAGGTTAAATTTTATCATTCTATCCCAAAGGCTGAATTTTATCATTCAAGCTATAATTAGATAAAAATTGTGTTAATTACATATTAGCATTATTTTGACATATGACCAGCATGAAAGTCAGCAGCTCAGAAACTGATGAGAAAAACACAGCAATAATCTTACCTTCAAGTCGAGATGAACAACATTGTTTCTGTGCAAGAATGAAACTCCTTCTAATATCTGCCTCATAAGTCGTTTCACATCTTTTTCTTTGAAGGCTTCCTCTCTTTCAGCCACGCACTGGTCAAAGATTTCACCTCCAGCAGCACTATAGAGCAATATGAATATTATTAGTTCAAAGACTAACTTATAGCACCCGTTTTGCTCTACGTGCACTATTTTATTTCATGCAAGCAAGAGCAGCAGGTGGTAGCATCCAGTAGTGGTAATTTTGGTTATTCCACATTTGACAAGCTTCAGAAATGTTCTCTGCAGTACGGCAGCTCTAGAAGGAAGCCAAGATTTTAGGCATTTAAGTTAGAGAAGATAAATTACTCCAGAAATTTGGGGGACTGCTTCGGAAACACTACTGACTATTCTTTCAGAGGAATGCCACATTTGTTTAAACACAGTGTTTTTTGCTTTTTGCCATTCCTATGAAACTACATGAAAATTTGGCTAAGGTAAGCCTTTGTAAACATAAAGCAAAGCAGCCCCACCTCCCATCCTCCTCAAAACTCTTTGCATGCACTTAAAAGATGAAATGTAAAGCCTGTAAATGAATTGTTTATGAAGTCTCTGGTATACGGGGTTGGATTGAGTCTCTAAACATCTTTCATCTAAAAATACTTCTGAAATTTCTAGCTCTCGGCTTGCTTCCTCTTTTGTTTATATATGTTTAAATAAATAACAAAGTAACAAAAATATAAAAAGAACTAGATAGGAATGAATGTTTTTAAAGTACTCAGAAGCCACACACAGTAGCATCTCCGTATAGCAATGACTCAAGAGAACTGACAGTGTTTTACCACCTAACCCTGTAGCACCAAAAATAAAATAAACTGAGCGGAGGCTCCATCCTAAAACCAAACGGGCACGAGAACATTAGAATGGGGCCACTTTGCACGTGGATTGCTGAAATACTGCTATGAAATCAACACGTAGAGACTTAGTTCTGCATGAAATCCTCTAATCACCCCGCAGTGAAAGATGGTGGAGCCCCTGAGGACAGTATCTTCTCCAGTTACACCAAACTGTGACATGCCGAACGTGACCTTGCACAAGCATCAATCTTTATCGAGGCATCGCCATCTACTCTGCCTTTGCTTGCTTTTTTCCCAACAAGTTCTATTACCCAGGCAATCCAGAAGGCACATTCAACATGAATATAATGGCAAATGAGATTTCTACAAAAACGATGCATTTAGACTGTGCAACCCCAGAGAAAGAGCACTTCAATATACTCAAATTCTCATATTGCCTATATTAACTTCATTGCTACAGTCCTAGAGCTCTGAAAAGCCTCGTGGCTTTTAAAATGTTTTTTTGCTTTCCCAGCTATTCTCATTACTGTTAAATTTACCCTTGTAGGTTGTCTTAAAAAAAAAGAATTAAAAGAAAGGTAAATCTTAACTTTTTCTGGTACATACTACTACTGGTACAGTAGTATGATTTGATTTATTAAACTAATATTTTCTTAAAAAGTCTATTAAATAATTATTTTTCTTCATTCCATCTCAGAGATGATTGAGCTCAAGAATAAAATTACTTTTTCAAAAGAATATTAAGACTTTAATTCCTTTTGAAAAATTGCATCTGCCTGACACTGTCGCATCTTTCTTCAGTCCTTTTTCATTTAATTCGTGACAGTAGTAATATTTCAGCTTTGAACAGGATTCAGATATTAATGACATTTTTAAAATGGACAAAGTGTATTTACTGGTTAGTGTATTCTAATATTCTAAACCAAATTCTTTGAAAAAGCAACATCAATTGGATCTTCCAGATAGGGATGGAAAAACATCTACTGCAACCCATAAATTAAACATTCTGCTTTAGGAATATCATAGTATGTTACTTGAAAGAGTGATTTAATTCCTTTTAGCAGTGATTTATAATGATACAGTGATAAGATCTACTACCAAAATTACTAACACAATGTGTTTTACGGCAACGAAACTGGGATTTTGTTGGTATAGCTCTGCCACTTCAAGTAAGGAAAAAATACTTCTACATTAACTTATATAATATTTAATTCCGTGAAATAGGACCTGCACCCAAAACCTGCTGTCGTCAACCAGGGATCACACTTTACATTTAACAGACCCACCCGAAAAAACAGTGGGAGTTGAGGGCATGGGGGGCCTTACAAAGCCCTGTTTGCTATATCTCTACTTGGTAGGCATCTGTTACCATTTGTTTATTAGTGTAACTTCATTAACACTGAAGCAGGCACCAAGCTAAGATGTCAGCTACCTAGAATTCTAATACTACACCTAAAGAACTCGGAATTACAAGTGATAAAAGTCAAGGCAATGGAAGCTGAAACAATGTGCCATCGCTGCAGTTGAGACACAGTGCTACCACATGAGAGCAGAAAACCCTTGAACCACAAAAACCTTCTTTTCAAAAAAAGGTATTTAAGTAGCTCCCAGTACTTCTGAAGATGCCTGGAATCATCAGCATTTTTAAGAGTGAGACATGCAAATACAGCCCTTACACATGCACACCCACTTCATAACTTATGAGACACTGCTGTTCCCACCCACCACAGACACTTGGCTTTACAAAACAGTTGAACGGCGACTTCACAGGCAAAGTTTCATTTTTTGATTTCAACTTCGCTACTCAGGATGCAGAGAGAACAACTTCTTCTGGACAATTCACCCTATCCAAAAATTACCACACTGTAAGAAGCAACCAGCAACCCCTTACAAGAACACACTGAAATTCGATACTCCAAGACTGTTTTGTGTATTGTTTCTGTGGAGTGAGCTTAATTGATTTCCTTAAGCAAAACAGTCAGCTAGCTGTGAGCCAACCCAGTCACAAGTGGTTGGAAGTACAATGTCAAAGTGAGCTCCAAAAAGACTGCCCTACGCATCTATGTCAAGTTCTGCCAAGCTCCTTAACAATACTTTAAACTCTGTTATTTTGTATTCCCCAGCTAGATTTGGGGAAAAAAAAAATATAAAAATCTAACAACTGAAGGGATTAAAATATCTGCTAGGAAAGTATCATGGCATGTCATTAATATGATTTCTGTATGCAGACATGCAGACCAGGAGTTCTCTGGTGTTAATAACATTTATGCATTTTTTTCTCTAAGAACACATCATCCATTAAACTGTAGTTTTTTTCTATTTGTCATTATGAAATAACTTTGCAAACGACCGGGCACCCCACCCACCTAGAAAGAAAATGTTGCTAGGGGATAAAAGCAAAGAATTATCCTCAGGACAGCAAACCCTTTAAGAAAACAAGCCATTTTAATCAGAAAAGAAAAAAGGATAAGGAAATATTTAACAGCACAACATTTTGAAATCCAATGTTACTTGGAGTGCGTTATTTCTCTAATACATGCTCCCCTAGCTAGGTGCATGGAAGAAATAAGTGAGACTGAGAACTCTTTCCAAACTTGAAAGGTATGGCAACCATAATTCTTTAGCTACTTTAATTTATTTATGAAAGTACTGTTGTGCTATGAACTTCTCTAGTTTCAAGTGAAATCCAACTGCTCTTTATCAGTGAAGAGCATGCTAACACTTTTAGCTCACTTATGCTGATAAGCAGTAATAAAGTCATTTGGAAGTCTGGAGCACTAATCTTTGTTACAATCATGTTGACTTTAGATTAAATGGAGACTACTTATCTTCCTTGAAATGTTTCTTAACAATGCAGTGTACGAAATTCAGCACCAAACTTCCTTCAAGTGCACTTACGATACACTTACATGGTCATTCAACGTATCATTAGAAAAACACTTTTTGGTGCACCTGAAAAAAAAAATTAAACATTCCCCCTGCTTTAATGGATCAGACATTAAGTTAGTGTTCTGAAGGACTCAGAAGTGCAAATCATCGGGGCACAGATATGTAGGCAAGTTCCTAGAATATACCTGATTTCAGTGCTGAGTGAGATCACACACAGTCTGCAAGGGAAACAATGCCCTTCCTGAATATTAAACTCGGTCAAAAGTCTGTCTTGAAAGGTTTATCTCTGCGAGATAATAGAAACTCATCTACTTGTTGTACATGAAGCTTATAATACAAGAAGATCCCAACAAGGTGGCTGTAACACTGTGAGCAAAGGCTCCTGTTCAGTGCTGCTGACAGCCATACCCCCTTCCCTTGGCTAGCTACACCATCAGATAGCAAATGCACTTACTGATAGTTTTCCCATTGTAAAGCTACCACAACAAACCAATATCCCCAAAGCCTGAGAAAAATGTAAATCCACGCCTGATGAGAGGACATAAGAGGAGAGATACTACTCTTTTAAGTTCTTGGTTCCCACACACGTTTGTTTGTTTTTTTTTTTCCCCCCTATCCTTTCCAATCAGGTATCCTAAGAATTCAATGAAATGCAAACAAAAGGTTACTACCACCGTTTGAGACGTTTTCCCCTGCCACTTTCTGAAGAGCTCCAGCCTTGATTTTAGACTGCCATCTAGAACAACTTTGCTAATTGCTCTAATAGACTAGATACAGACATTGGAGCACCACATTTATTTCTGACTACAGTGGTTTTGCATAAAATCCTATCTGTTGAATCCCATATCAAACGAATAGTTTCCTGCAGGAAACTCTAACCAGTCACATCTTCTGTAAGCAGGACAACAAATAATGTCCAAGACAATACAAGCAGTAAGATTACCAAGGTACAAATAACTGTAGGTGAAAAAGACACTTCATCCAGCATATCTGATAAACACTTACTGTGTCTTCAAGATGATAGAGGCAATTTTTTTGTTGTTTTTTTTTTTAAAGCAAGCACAATGAAAGTCTGCTATATTTACACAAGACTCTGGCACGTAAGGGCTCAGTTCAGAAGCTCTTCACAACACAGTACTGAATGGCTCAGATTTTTGAAGTTGCACTTAAAGGTTTCTGTAACATCTGCCGCACTAATGACTCGCTAATATCATCTACCTCTCCCACAGATGTGTAAAAACATGGGGATGGAACACTTACAAAAAACCCACCCATTCTTAAGCATCAGATGCTCTTATTGTTCTTTCTTTCAAAATAATTTGGAAAAAGCCAGGTAGGTTGTACACGTGCATCAAGCCCCCAAATTATCAAATTTGCTTTTTTTTTCCTTTCATATTTGATGTGCCAAGTTTCTCTACCTTTTCAGTAAAATTCCTTCGGACAGAGACTGTTGTCAGGGTGGATGCAGAGAGCCACCAATTTCCTATGGTACAGCTGAAGTCAACACTGTAATGCCTCATTGCTTCCCATTGCTCAACACTTAATATTTAACAGTTAGTGGTCAATTTTAAGTTCATTTTTTTGTCAAAAATTGATACCACTTGAAAGACAACCCTCCGTGCAACATTAATACTTCTGTTCCTGAAGGCAAAACACAAGGTGTTCCCCTCAGCCCTTATGGCAGATTCAACACCAAGACAAGAAACTTAAAAACCCTAGCAGATAAGGTTAGTGGTCAACAATTATTTGTTTTACTCCTTCACAAGATAAAGATCTGCCACACAGATCATCAAGCTTAACAGAAACTGAAATGCCCTAGAGAAGCTTGCAGTCTAGGTATGTTCTTTAATCCTCTGCATAAAGAATGTCAGAAATTCACTAACATTCATACCTGCTTTGTTGCAACATGTCTCCGAAACATGTTGACATTAAAGAAGCATCCAGACGTATTTGCTGAAGTCAGGGAAAGACTGTTCTTGTAATTTATAACTCTTAACACACAGCTATTTATCTGAAACAAGGTATGACTGTTTGATGCATATAAGCCAAATAATTTTGCTAATTACTGAACAACCTAGTTAATACTTTGGATTAAAACAGTTTTGCAACTGTAAGAGAATTAAGATCTAAAAGAAGCCCAGCAATTTTGCATTGAAATTATCACAAAACCCATTGCTCATTTGGATTCTACTGCTCATATTAAATCACTATGGGATCCAGAAATTTAAACTGTGTTCTAGTTTAAATTTCTGCTAATGTTCAAAGCAGATATTTATGAGTCTCCAGTAACAGCAGTGAAAACTCCAGAAGCTCTGTCACAGCTTTGCATTATAACAGATACTTAAATATTTCATATATTGTGAATTCCATGAGGGCACAACGAAGTTTAAAAAATGTATTCTAGAAGGAACTTTGCCTTAGCAGACACCACCTCATTCTAAAGCAGATGTGGTTGGGAGAAAAGATTTCTCACAATTTCTTTTTGATACCAAGTAAGAAAAGAGCTGTACAAACTAGATTTATCTTAGCAGACAGGTTAAGTCACTTCCAAACTACTGAGCCTCACTGTTCTCCAAATCATTTAAAATCCACAGAGCTTGAACAGGAACTTAGCAATAAGTACTTGGCTGCATCTTGGAACTTAGCTGTCAAGTATCTAAGCCCCTGGCAGATTAGATGAACAGTCACAACAGCTGCAGAAATACCCATCTGGACAAACTCAAGTGGAGAAAACCACACAGACATGTGCAGAGTCACAAGTTAAAGGTTCTTTGAAAGGTTCTTTGAAAGAAACTATTCTAGGTCTCAACCCTCCTCCTCTTTCTCCTTCCCCCAAAGGATAATGCTTTAGAGAGCTTATTGCTGCAGGGGTTTTTGATAGTTTCTTTTTAACAATGATGTTGCTTTAATACCTTTTCCATAACTTATCAGATTCTTATCACAGAATATTCTGAGTTGGAGGGGACCCACAAGGATCATCAAATACAACTCTTAAGTGAATGACCTGTATGGGAATCAAACCTGCAACCTTCGTGTTTGCAGCACTGTGCTCTAATCAACTCAGCTAATCCCAATGGTAAAAAACCCCACAGATTTCACCCCACCTTTGTCATGGTCAATGAAAAAAAAACTTCAGTTCATGAACAGATCCTCACTGCTTTTTCCTCTTCCTCTTTTACAAGTTCATATTTCATTAAACATTTTTAAAACTACATAAATTATACTTCAGCTTTGAAAGATACTACATAATTAGAGAAATTTATTATAATCTGCAGTAATTATGAGACTGCACATAACTTCTTGCAATAGTGATTTTCTTAGCAATTCTTTTCAAAGTTAAGCAAGGGTAACAGGCAAGCAATAAAAACTCTCACATTATTCACATTGATACAAGGTGTTTTTACACTGTCAATTTTAAGCATATACTGCAGGTTACTCAGGACTTATTACTAATACTTACTATTCCAGGACTAAAATCATCTCTGTTGCAGTTTCATAAACTTCATGCAAGTTAATGACCCAAAGGTTGCACTGTGCCAGCTCAAGGACTGCAATTTCGTGGATTATTTCCATCCGACAGTCTTGGCCCTTTCTTCTTTTTCTCATGAATTTTGCTGCAAACTCTTTTTCAGTGTCTTTCTGGATACACTTCTTCACCACTGCAAATTTTCCCCTGAAATTAAAAAAGAATTATTTATAATTAGTGACAGCTTCTGTACTGCCTTTATAAATTAACATCTCAGGAAACTTGAACCAAATCCCTATTAATGGGAACATTTAAGATTTATTCCAAGTTTAGAGAGATGCCTTGCTGAGTGATGATCCCTGTGGTTAAAAGAACACCCCAGCCCACAGTGTAATACAACCTCCGTGAAAAATAAAGAATTTTAAAAATCTATCAATTCCAAGAATCTGAATTTCAAAGATACAGCATAAAAGAGCTGTGCTAGTTCCCAAGATTAAGTTATCCTCAAAATGCTAACTAAAAAAGCTGGCAAAACCAAAATGTATACATTAAGGCAAATTGAAGGCAACTTATGCTTTCTCTGACTACCTCACAATAATCCAGTTATTCTTTTCTCAAGAATATTCCACCGTATTCAAGGGAAGAGCAACCAGTGCTCTCACCGAACCCTGCTCTACTTGCCAAGCACTATCCGGACTCTACTCTGCATTTTCAAAGATGGCACTTTGTATTTTCACCATGGTGTGCCTCAAATGATACGAGCCAGAGTTTTTTGATTGTTTAACAGTTCTCAAAGTCCCTTAATCTCACCGTGTAAGTAAGCAACATGGATGATTTAAATAAAATTAAGCAAGTTTTCTAACAGAAACATCAAGTTTTCTAGCAGGATTTTTGCAGCAGTGCTAAGGTGAACAGGAAGGCACACTGAGCAGAGCTGAGCACGGTGCTCAGCCCACGTTAATGAGCGTCACCTCCCACAGAACACACAACTGATGATGATACACCGAGCCAGCAGGGCAGCTAAAACCACACTGCAGCACTTGCGTCAGGAGACTTCCCCCACAGCACTTTGGCTGAAGTGTCTGCTCTAAACTTCCCTGCGACAGTCCCACACCACCTACTCCACTCAGTTCCATTCATACAGCGCTGTTTTTTAGACTGAAAAGGCTTTTAAATTAATACCTATCATCTAACGAATGATGAATTCTCCTACTTACTTTAGTTCTTACCATACTGACATGATCTTCATCAAAACGATCTTTTTTTGTTTATATATAAGCATGCTCTTATACAGCTGCAGGAATAGCTTGGAGATCTTTATTTTGGTTTTCTTTACTTAACTTACTGTAGGGTTGCTGAAACCAAAATAGCAGTCTTCATCTGTTTTGGAATACAATTACAATGGGTTTTGCCTCTCCCTCCTCTGAGCCGAAGTTCACAGGATTAACTAATTCAGCTCGTGTCAAAGTTTTCGCTCTCACGTCTCCTGACCCGCTGGCAGAAGACTGCTATCCATGAAATGTAACTGCTAAACCCAGCTGTGGTCAGCCTGCTTTTAACAGGCATTTGTTTCAAAATCACACAGTCTAAATGGATCGAGTCGAATAAACACCCACAAAGTGGGTATTTGCTGGGCAATCTCAAATAAAATAACTGGACTCGTAACCACTGATACAGCCACAGTTATTCATCTAGGGATAATATTTTGTGTAAGCACACATTATCTACAGCACGATGTCTATTAAGGCTAGATCACAGCCCAGCCCACCAGCTGTCTGGTGTAAGTAGACAAATAGTAAGAATATGCTTTCAATGTCTTGAATAAAATTTTTTGGGAGGAAATTCTTAATTATGAACATGTACATAAGGACAATATTATAGAGCTTTGCAAATGCGTGACAATAATATTACAGGATTTTGTATCCTAAAAGTCATGTGCAATATATAACTATTCATCTACCAAAGGTGTTAAAATACTTGCTGAAGTTTGAAATCTCTCTAATACAGCTTTCAAGCACTGTGCTGTCCTGAATTACACACAAAATCTATCTGGAAGCAAGTTAATTAGCCTAATGAGTACCGAACGTTGCCGATTCATCGTGCATTAGTCATTACGGAAATAAAACAGTGTTCACGGAGCAGCAAGGGACAGCAAGAGCCACCACCGTGTGCGTGGCCACGCATGTCCTGTTTAGCTGAGCTGGCCAGAAGCCTGATAGGTGACGTAATGAAAAGGACAGGTTACACGGGAGTTCAGTTGGCTGACAAATAATAATAATTCTTAGTTGTTCGAGACCAAGAATCCTGCCCAGATTCTTTATGGTTATGCCTATAATTAGAGCTATTTTAACTACTACCTGTTAGAACTCATCTTTTCTGAATACAATCCCCCAAAAGATCAAACTTGACAGACCTGATGTTTACAACTAGCTAGCAGAACTATTTTCTGTGCAGCGATCTAGATTCACGTCTGAGAAAATTTTAGAGCTAAGATCCAAAGATAGCACCCACTGTATGGTTAAGCCAAAGAAAAATTTTAAAGAATTTCTTTTTGATTGAGAAAGAATAGCAGGTAGACAGCTATAAACAAGCTTTCTTACAAAGTCTACATTGCACACACTTCATATTTGCTTTTCTTAAAATCCTGCTTCTCGGACCTCCTAATAAAAAAACACGTCAAACAATGAAAAAGAGTGTTAGATCCCATTATTGCTAGTTCAGTGTATTGAGAAGAGCCAGCAGAGACCACACTGCATGGAAGGAAAAACAATTTTGAGATGAAAAACTTAACACACGTTTCCCAAGTTGAAAACAGACCACCAGTCATCCCAACACATATAAAAATGCTTTGGAGGGAGGCAAGAATAGGAAATTAGAAGTAGTTCTCAGTCTCATTCGAGAGTTATGATTTAAGATAAACCACATCTGATTGCAAAGAAGCTCAATGTCACCTTCTCAGATTGCCAACAGAGTTTGCATTGTTTCATCAGGCACACATTATAGCTTAAAGGAAAAGTGTCAAATCACAAATAAAATGTCAAATTAGATAAGCAGGAACATTTATGTCACACCAATTAATTTTGGTTGTCCTAGGTTAAGAACAACAAAGAACTAACCTTACATTAATCATTATTTTTTTAAGGGACCTATAAAACACTGTCACCACAACAAATGCAGGAATAACAGCAATGCCTGTGAATATATTTACTTTTTATAAAGTTCAGAAAACTTTTCTGAGATCCACAATACAATATGATGCAATTTATTACATAACTCCTATAAATTTTTTTTTCTGAAGTGTGGGCTTTTTCCCCTGATAATTTTGGGTTTCCAAACAGCAAAGCGCAGGGATTCCATTTCTGATGTTCACAAACAGTTTACTCACATAAATTTATTCTCAAATGGTGAAACCAACTACTTGTAAGTCTTCATCTTCACCTCTTTCCCACTTTCACTTACTTCCACCACTATTTCACCCTAGCCATGCCTCTGCAGAAAGCAGCTGAGGTCAGAAGTGTGATAGCAGGTGCATTCTCACTGATGCACAAAATTGTACAAGTGTCACGTCCTGCTAAGATGCACATTACCGAAAGCTACCCGAGAAATATGAAAGTTCATGCCAGAGTTGTATTTCTTTTGGGGGAAAAAAAAAAAAAGGATTTAAGACATGCATTGCTTGCACATGAAACTATAGCCAGGTAACTTAGCCAGGAACAAAGAATATTTCAATCTCCTCTGATGATTACAGTATTTCTTATTCTTAGGTTTGGGTGGAGAATGAGCTTCGCTGCCTAAACAGAAAACTGGGAATGAGGAGAACCAACTGAATTGCACTGGACTTATTTACATGTGTGCTCTGCACCCATTATTTTGCTAGAAGATCCTTTATTTTGGATCAGTCATTTAAGGTGATTGTTTTACCTTCCAGAAGACAGGGAGACCAGACATTTATGCTTTTCTCCAAGCCAGCTCTAGCATCAGGAGTATTATTTTCTGTACACAGACTTCCAATATGCGTATAGCTTGTTTCACATTAAGAAACAAAAAGTGCAATGCTCCATCAACAAGCTGAAGAATTAATAGTCTAGTAACACTTTATGTAATTAGGAGGTTTTTTGTTGAGGAAAATGAGCAAAGCAACAAAATTTAATTACACTGGACTCTTTAAGGAAGCTCTGGGTAGTAGAAAATGTATTGTTCCCCATTTTACAGTACAATTATGGCTTAAGCACAGATGGTAAGAGTTAAGCAATTGGTGTCTTGTCCTCTGCTAAGGTTACACTACTTCAAGCTAACTTAACTCGAGCTAGCACTGTCTGAAAACATTTAAGTCTCAGTGAGCTGATGAGAAGAGGCACCCTAAAAACATTCATCACAGGTAAGTTTGATTTTAAACCTCATGCAAATGAAGACCTGTGTGAGAACATTCTGATTCTGAGGACAGTAAAATTAGTAAGGCTGTGAAGACTGGACCAAAAATTCATATATGTAATGATTTCATTAAAAGAATGCTATTTCCATGTCATCCCAAGCAACTTGAGATGATTTCCTTTCCAGAGTGGCCATTATAACCAAGCCATTATAACCTGGCTTTCCTAACAGCTGTACCTCAATAGACTTGCAAACACCTTCCCAGCTACTGAATGAGGCAACAGAATTAGCTTTACATTCTCAAAGCAGTTGTGTGCACTGCAGAGGGACTGCTTTTCATCCAGGATGAAAACCTGTCATGCCTGGGTGCTAGTTTGTCCAAGTCCTTTGTAAAGATAAACTTCACCCATAAGTTGAGAATTACACCTTTTACGAACATATAAAAGGGAAACAATTTGTGCTAACAAGTTATCAATAAAATGACAGGTCAGAGGGGTGGAGAGACTTTCCATCTATGCTTTGTCACAAAATTGGCAAAAAATGGTCTTTAATGGGAGTACTTGAGCTGAAGTATCCACTTTTTAAAAATCAAAATGTAGTAAAAAAAAGAATTCAAAATTGTTGAATAAAAACCCAAGCACATACATTCAAGTGTATAGATTTCTATATTCTAAGAGACAAGACAGTGAAAACATTTGTGAAGTTGAGGAGAGAAAAAGACAGTCTGAACCAAAATATGTGGGACTTGAACAAAAACAAGACAAACACTAAGAACTGTCACTTAACTCAATTTAACACATACAGGTGTAAAATCACAACCTTCATGCAAAGGTCATCTTTAAATATAGTTCTGATCAAAAAATATTCCTCACAAAAAAAGCCATGCTCAGATTTACTTCTTTAGACTGCAGACTAAGACTTGTTGCAGTACCTTAATTCTTGTTCATAGGGTAAAAGCTAATAATCTCAGTTGTACTTTTGCGTGCCAGAAGGAACCTTCATCTATTTCATGTTCTGATTAAGCCAATAACTATCATCCAGCTCTAAGAGAAACTCTAATTCCATGGCAGAACTGCAAAATACTTTCTGAAAACTCATCTGAACTTTAAATAAATTTAAAAAAAAAAAAAAAAAAAAAAAAGCAGAAGTGATACCAGGACATCCTGTTCTATACTCCTCCTACAGCTTCTTGCCTGTTTCTTAGAATTTAGGCTGATTTGTAGCCTGTATTTAGTCAGCTTTAGTTTCCAGACCTTGGAAAATGTTGTCACAACACGCTAAAAAAAGCTTTCTCACTCTAAGGGATGTTTCTCCCACCTGCTTCCCATGGGAATGCTTTAGTTCACTACGTTTAAACTCCAGTTAATACATCAGAGTTACTAAGTGAGCATTAAGCTAACACCTAGGCAACCTAAAATTTTGTTAGAGACACTTACTGCAGCTACATTTGCTTTGAAACTCCTCTTTAGCTCCAAAGGGGTTGGTTGTGGTGCTGTATAAACTAAAACTAAAACTGCTGTATAAACTGTAAAACTAAGCTAGCATAACTTGAAAAGACCATACACTGAAGAGGGTATCTTGTTATACATATATCCCGTGGTATTCCATCTAATCTTTTTGATCAGAATACTCTTGAGATGAAGTACATGCAATTCTAGGCACAGTGTTTCTCTTTTTGTAAAAAGTGACAGAATTTCAGACAAAAAAAAAAATGGTCCAGTGGTGCTGAAACTCCGTATATGTAGTTCCCAAGACGCAAAAACCGTCCAAAGAGAATTTTTCCCTCAAACCTTGCTTTCTATCAGACAGGTGTTGAAATCATAAACGGACTAAACCCTGTGTGTGGAATCACTTCCCAACCCAAGATTTTCACCAGCTTTTTAACTCTTTGAGAAGTTCCACCATTAGGTTATTCTCGAGCATTTGTTACCCCAAACGAGTCTGAAGTTGTTGTTTTTTTTTTTTTTTTCCCCGCACGTCACAGACTACAAAGCCCAAATAGGAAGAAAAAAAAAAAAAAGAAGAAGGGAGGTTTCCCTCTCCAATGGAAATCAGCATTACCCACTACTCCACACCGGCTTCCACGGAACACCACACCACCTTCCCAGCCAGGTTCGCAAGGCTCAGGAGCCGAGGGCGACTTTTCCAAGCGGGAGGAGGGACAGACAGAGGCGGGCACCGCCGTCTCTCCGCGCCCCTCCAGCCCAGCCAGAGCCACGGGCACGTCCCCGTGGGCTGCCCCGCCGCAGGCTCAGCCCCCGCTGGGTGCCCCTGGACCCCGCAAGGCTGGGAGCCCTCAGCCCCCCGGCCCCGCTCACCTGCCGAGCTCCCGGCCGGGGCTGAGGCTGTACCGCTCCTGGAAGGGCTCCGTGCGGATGGGCGTGCGGATCTCGGCCAGGAACCCGCCCCGCCGCCCCGATCGCCCGGCACCGGGCTGGGGCTGGGGCTGGGGCTGTGGCTGTGGCGGCGGCGGCCAGTCACCGCGGGAGCGACCGGGCGGCGGCTTCTCGTCGGGGCTCATGGCGCGGGGGGCTTCTCCTTGGGCAGGGGGACTCCCTCCTTCTCCTGCTCCTTCTCCTCCTGCTCCTCGCCCTCCCGGTGTCCGTCCCGTTCCCGTTCCCGTCCCCGTTCCCGGTCCCGGCTCCCAGCGGGCGCTGCCGCCGCGGGCTCGCGCAGGGCAGCGGGCAGCACGCGCCGGCCGGGGGGGGGGGGGGGGGGGGCGGAGCCACGCGCGCCCCGCCCCGCCCCGCCCCGCGCGCGCCTCACCTTGGCGGGGCGGGACGGCCGCGCGGCGCCCCCTGGCGGCGGCCGCTGTGGGCGGCGAGGCTCAGTTTAAGTCTCTCAGCCTTTCCTCATAGGAAAAGTGCTCCATCCTTCTAATCATCTATACTTCAGGAATAAATTCCAGAACCAGTGTATAGAGTTATTTAGATATTAAATAACACTGGTCCCTGAGGGGACACCTCTTGGACACTGGTGTCCACCGTGACCCTGAGCCACGGACCACTACCCTCTGGATGCAACCATCCAACCAGTTTCTGAAACATCGAACAGGCCACCTATTGAATCCATCTTTCTCCAATCTAGAGAGAAGGATGCTGTGGGGGACCTTGTCAAAGCCTTTACAGAAGTCCAGATAAATGACATCTTGTAGTCTTGATGTAGTCACCCCAACATAGAAGGCCGTTGGCTGGGTCAGGAAGGACTTGCCCTTGGCAAAGCTGTGCTGGCTGTCTCAAATCTTCTCCCACTTTACTATACACCATAGAACAGACTATGTTTTGCCTAGTTGTGCCAGAATATTGTGGAGCTGATATATCCTGTAGTAAATTTTCCCTCTAGAAAGGATAAATATAAGCTTTGTAACTTATTGTAGTTTCACCTGTGCATTAAAACAGCGCTGATCTTGGACTTAAATAAGCATAGGCTTATATCTGCTATCTGCACAGGGAGAAATATGTGTGGATATGAACAATGCTTGATTTACTTAGAGATAAGCTAACAGACACATCTAGGCTGGTAACTATCATATGTTACCTGCTAGTAAAATGTCTGTGCTTTTTCTCTGTTGTTTGGATATTCGGCTTCTATCACTGAAATATTATTAGCCTGCTGTGTGCTCAGTTGCACTCAGATGGCATAGCAAACAGTGATTCCTGCTGGTCCAGGTAACACTAACTGTTTTACACTTCCATATATTTGTTTTCTTTTCTGGCAGTAGCATCCAGGGAACTCATTCTCATGAGCTGTGTTTGGCCTGCAAGCTAAGAAGCAGGAGGTGAGGTGGAAGACACCACCACAGTATTCTGTTTAAAACAATGAATGTCCTTCTCAATGTATATCTGCATGCACTGGAGTCAGAGAGTGATTTCTATATTGCCCTGAAGAGCTGGATCAAAAGTGTTGTATAGGGACATGAGCTCTGTTCAGTTTTGTCACTCTGACTCCAGCCTGATCATCACAAGACATTTCCCTTCTCAATATGTATGTATTCAGGCAGGTTGTACATGATGGAGAAGTTACCCAAAGTAACCATCATCATCATCATCATCATCATGGTCCATTTATAACAGAAATATGAAATCTTACCATCCGTAGCTCAGCACATATAAGATTGTTTTTCAGGTGCTAAATTCACCCCTTTCAACTTCCGCAATGGCGGATCTTCTGTGGCTGGAATTCCTGCAGGCTGCCGGAGTTCCATTATGAAGTTAGTTATTTTGCGCTGAAGCTACTTATTTCTCGATGTGGTGGTTTACCTATGAGGCAACAGGAAGAGCGCACGTTCCTCACCTGAGGTGTTTTGCTCCTGTATTCTTTAAACACCTCTTGTCATCCTGTAAAAGCACTTACACAAGAACTCCGAGCACCCAGCACCGCTGAAAAACAGTCCCGCCACACTTTTGTACAAATGGAGGTTCCTGACCAGCTGCAACAAAAAAAAGTGTTACTGACCTCCTCTTTTCTAATTTAAGGAAGGAAAGCACAGCTCCACTAAGTGGCAGCAGCAGGCATCATTACTGCCAGCTTCACTGAATTATTTTGATGTTTGTGAGAGGTTTAGTATAAACTGGTACTCGTGTCACAATAATATTTATTTTTCCTTTTTACTCATAGGATTTGATTTCATAATTTCCAAAACAGATGAATAATAAACTTGTGCTTAGGGAATCTAACAGTAATCTTTCCAAATACTCTCCCGAGTTCATGTTTTGCAGAAATTCTCATTTGAATATGAATTTTACATACAATAATATTAATTTACCAGTTGGAAAACACATCATGAGGGTCCCCATTCTTTACGTTGATGCTCCTCAGGTCAGTTTCAGCTTCTCTGCAGTGCCCAGGCAAACACTGATTCACCTCTCACAAATTAGGCAGACTATGTTTTACAAAATCCAAGATGCACCACAAAGATGGCAAAGCTGTCAGCAAACGTATCCTCACGCACTGTAAGTATAATCTTTTACAGTAATCTCTTGTTACTGATTTCAGTCATTCTTAAAAAGTCACTGATCGGATTTAGTAGTGAGACATACCTAAGAGGTACTGAAGTCAAATCACAGCTTGTAACAAAGTTCCAAAGGAGATTCCAGCCCTGCCCCAGCTGCATTCCTGAAAAGCTGTTACCTAAACAAGGTGACTCCATGTGGCACGCTGGTTAGGAAGCTGTACTGCTTTGTCTACAAGGAGAACCACATTAAGCGCCGAAACGTGAAAAAAAAAAAATAGGAGCATATGTAATTTATTTTTGTATGCTGTTTTGATTTTGGAAAACCAGCATTAGGAAATCACACCCAACAACAATTTTTCAATTGCTCTCTGTGGTCAATTTCAAAACTGAATAGATTTTCAGTGTCACACCAGGGTATTTACGGCATTTTTTTTTTTTCCCCTCGCAACTGATTTATTTTGCAAGTGGGAAAAAAGGATAACCCAAACCAGTACTCTATTTTCATACTGAAAAATTTAAAAAGTGTCCTCTTCACAGAAGGAAAGGCAGGTGACCTCAGTGGTAACTATTGCTTATCACTGACACAGAAAACTCCCCCATGCAGCTCCACTATCTCCTTGTACCATGGGAGTTAACTAATTATGCGAAATCCTATGTGCCAGCAATTCAGGGAAGAAACATCATTAGTTGCACTCCTTGTGCTTTCCAGTGACTTCTGTTCTGTTCAGCCTCAACAAGCTGTAACATGGCACTGTGGGGATAAGCTTCATTTACAATAGAGTTAAAAAAATATAAACCTGGTTTACATCAAAGCCTAATATAATAAGAACCAGGCTTTGTATTTCAGGCAGAATAAGGTATTGGGTTTTTCTCTTATAAATTTAGTTCCAAGAGGGTAGGAACTAAACAAACAAAGCCACACACTCTTCATCTTGATAAATCCACGAAAGGTATTTTCAGTCAAAGTTGATTTTCAACTTTACCAGAATTAAATTAAAAAACAATAAAAGACTGTGGCTTTGCAGCTCAAGGAGGATTTATGATTAGGGGAGACTCAGCAGATCCTTTGTGGCTTTGTTCTCCAGATGTGACAGCTATTGTCCAGTCTGGCCTCTTGTACAAGAACGAACATCAGGCTGCAAGAGGATTTATTGTCCATTGTAGGTAAAAACTATGGCACTGCTACCACAGGGCAGGATTATTATTGCTTTGTAATATTCTATAGGATTATGGAGTTTTGTTACCATGCCAAGAGAGACATCTAATGTACATAGAGAATGCAGGTGTGCTGTTGCTCTTTTTTAACAGAAATTCGATAATTATAATATATAATAGAATGGGTTCTGGTAAAAGGCATAGTTCCAGCCCACACACACGGATCACTGCTGCACAAACTGACACCTCTGATGCACCCTAATGATCAGCAACTTGTTTCACTGCTTTTTAGTAGATATTAATTTTCCCTTCCTTTATATGTGAACGACTCAGAGAAATCTAGCTTAGCGTGACAAATGGCCTCTCCCTCCCTTCTTCCTCACGCACATGCACATCACACAAACAAGTTTTGAACAAAGGCTGCGCTGAGATCTGGATTTTTTGAGCATGTGCATGGGCAGGTGCTGCTCGTGCCACCACCACCACCACCATCTCTGCCACAGGAGAGCCAGCAATGGCCTGGGGACCTGTGCCCCTCCACACAGGATGAAAGGCAGTGCCAGCTGCAGAGGGTCTCTCATGAGTTCTCACAGTCACATAGTTTCACATTTGCTGTGCAAGATATACTTACCATTTCTGTTGGAGCGTCTCCCCCGGATTTGTAATTTCCCTCATAAAAACTGTGCCTCACGTTCAAGCTTTCCCATCCTTCCCATTGTATCATAATCCCTTACGGGGTGCCACTTGTGTAAGAAAACAGGTACGGTCAGCAAGGTGTCTGCTGACGGTGCATCTGAGGCGCGTTAATCTATCCTGGAATGTGCTAATGAAACATGCCTGAGATATTACAGTGACGAGCAGCAGAGAAATGGGTGTGACACGCCGAGATGCCAGAGCATCTTGCTATGTATTTGCTGTCAACACTTAATGCAGACCCAGCACATGCTATTAAGAAATCATCCTTGCACTCGCATTTCATACCTGTAATGCAGTAATTACATCCAGAAGCAAGGTATGCGTAAGCAGCGTATACATTTCCTTTGTCCCTCCGTTCGACCAGACATTCTCCACAGCGTGGAATAAGCTCACATGCTTTCAAAGCAGGGCTGGCCTTAGGGTAGTCTGGGAGAGTATGGGGGCACTGGTTACGCACACTTACGGGGAGAACCTCAAGTTTTTACGACACGTACCTTGAGAAACTGAATTAAAGCAGTGGAAGGGCCTGAAGGCAATGGTCAGAAAGGATACGACCCTGGAACCGCAGTTCCTGAAATGAGTGGGCTTTGACCAATGCCAGTCTCCACCCACTCTAACATACATCCTCTACAAAATAACTTGTTTGCAATAGACAGTCCACACAATGCCATAACAAAGTGATTTTATTGACATTCCTCTATAGTGATACGGTCGAATAGAAAGCACAGCCTGAGTATCATGTGACATTTTTCTGTCAATATAAGCAAAATCAGTCCAATAATGAGGACCTTTCCTGCCATTGACTTTATGTAGTCTTTAACAAAAACCATAACAGACATTTCTGTTGGATAAATTGGAAGCTGCAGGGAATTTGGCTAATGGTACAATATTTACTATACCTAGTAACTACTATCTACAGGCATCTGTTTTTCTACTAGAACAAAGGACCTACATGACTCACTAGAGAGAAAATAACAATCCAATCTTTTGGACCTCGTGATAACTGGAAAACCTATCCCAGATTTAGTACATTGCAGTAATTTTATCTTTTAATAATGAACACTGAGGTACAGCAAGAATAATAAAAAAGCACCGCATTTGTTGTAGAAAGATCTGTTGGTCTGCATTTGACTGAAAGTGTTTAATCTTGACTGGGAAGCCCTATTAATATTACTATGGAGACAGGGCAGATATTATTTCAACAGAAATTAAACAAATCTCCAGTCAAATCTGTCCTTCTGAAATTCCACAGGCTGTCACAGGATTAACAGTGAAGGACAGGTTTAGCTCGTCTCCTGTGCGTTTATATTTTAGCTTATTTCAGATTCGTTTTTCATGTTCAAATTTAGTATCCTGTTGTTTCCAACTAGAGGTATGTCAACTGCTTGTTACAGTGAAACTGGAACAACAAAACACAAACCCAGCAAACACCCCCCTCCCCACAGGCTGTCTCTCAGACTAGACTATGAACTTAAACCTCAGCTACAGTCCATCGTAAAAGTTCACGGGCACTTGAGCAAACCAGGTGAAAAAAAGTCCCCTGTGTCAGACCTGCACAAAACTCATGATTTCTCCATTAGGTGTAGTTTGGACCACTCACTTCTTTCCTTGTGATAGCCACGGGTCTCCCTGGAACATAAAAGTCAAGTTTTGAACATGCACAGCCACACGACTGAAGCCGAAAGCTCATGTAACGCACTGCAGACTGAAGTGACAGCATTTGGTAACGCTGTTAACAGTAAGGTACAGCTGTTTGTACTGGATCAAATCCTGCATAGCTTATGTGGTTGAACAGTCAGTGAGACCACCTCAAGGTGGAAGACCTACTGGTGATTTAAAATACCTGTTTTCATTCTCTTCAGATCAATGCTAGTAGGGCAACAGGATTTCATAAAAAAGAAATATCCCCCTCCCTCCCTCTACCATTAATACTGTCATGAAAACCACTTTGAGAATCATACAGGCCCTCTGAAAACATACCGGTTGTCAATATTCACTGCTCTGATCAAAAACCAGAATTCACAAAAGCTGTCAGATTGCCTCTTTCATTTTTCATTTGCATTTTAAAAATCTATTGATGTTGATGCCATACCTTAATCTAGCCACCACCATTATCTAGTCACCACCATGTTTAAAGGGAACTGAGGTTTAAAGAGCTGAAAAGATTATTCCACTGTAAATCTGCCCTATGGAGTATCTTCTAGTCTTTCCTGTGGGGAAACAACGAAACCAGAATTTCTGTAGTCAACAGTCGGTGTGTGACAAATGCAAATGCAGACTTGGGGAGTGAGTAACAGCATTTGAATCAAAATATGAACAGGGAAGGGTATATGTCTCGCATATGCATAACAACAACAAAGTCAATTAATTGCTTAATGGGCAGGTTAAATAACAGGCCAAGGGAGGTGGGTTCCACCCTCTCTCCTGTTAGCACCATTCACTGCCTCGCTCCAACACCACGATGCCACTTAGATGCGTGGCTTGCCCTTTACTTCAGGCTGGGACTGGATTCTGCCCATGGTATGACACAATGAAAGGAGAAGCATCGATCTGGACATCCTAGAGTTTGAAAACCTATTGTGGTAGGGGATTGGGGAAGAGAGAGGGAAAGGACTGGAATGGCAGAATACCAGAACACCCTAGTATGGCAATGTTCTTTCTCTTTGTCTTATGAAAACAGCCAATTGTCTCTATTCCTAGCTTTAGATCCAAAAAACTTGCAAGGAAGTCTGCATGACCTTGTCAACTTAGAAAGCAACCTTTTAAAAATATTAGGCTGTGGGTCTGAAAGACAGTTTGGATCAAGGATTTTGATGGGAAGTAGCTGGCTGTGCTGTATGTTTCCCAGAGCAGGAATACACAAAGTGCTTGAGATGGCATCTGCCAAACATAATCTACTTTACACAATCTAGCAAGTGCCAGAACATGTCGTGAAGAAGAATTTTAGGAGAAAGCTTTCCATATTTCAGTCAGTGGGGTTTGATGCTGTCTCTGAAATACAAACGTCTTTTATTACGCTACAAAAAATAGTTTCACTTTTTCTTAATAAAATATAGTTTTAAAATACTTAAAAAAATTCAACTATACAGCATTGTAAAGATTGGATTTTTTTTTTTTTTTTTTACACTTTTTTACTATTTTAATGAGACAGCTCTTGATTTTCTCTGGCCAAACATGGACCAACCAGCTGGATGCTTCTCTTTCTTTTCTTCTAATGTTGGAAGACATCCCAACATTTGACATAGTGCAGGTAACTATAACACATCACCAGGAATAAATTAAGAACCATACAGGAATCACTGGACTTTGGGGCCCGGAGGTGAAGAGGCAGAAATTGGAAGGTTTCACGTTCAGCCTTTCCTGGTGTCACTCGTTCTGGTGGAATTTGTGTGGACGTGACAGATGCTCTCAGAAAAATGCTAAGTTTTCCATCTCTCCTGAGCAGTGGGGCTGGTCATGTGGAACAGATGCCTGAGAGCTCCCTTATGGAAATACTAAACATCATTTTTGGTGTTTGGTACAATGAAGCTGGCCTGTAGCTGCAGCCTCCCTCTGCAACCGTAAAATGATTACTCAATAAGAATAGTAACAACATACTATAAAATAGATTCTCAGTAAAAACATACATGAAATTAGTATAAAAGTGGCTGAAATGTCACAGAAATTGAATGAATGGGGCAATTTAAATATTCCAGTTTTTTACTGTATCATTAACAAAAGCTACTCTTTCTGCTTAGAAACATGTTTTTGGGTGCATCACCTCTCAAATACCTACTGTTCTAAGAATAAAAGCAGGAGAATGGTGTAAAACTCTCAGAATGCAGTTTTTCAAGTGAGATGAGATTCTGTACAGCCACCATAAAACCATGCGAGAAAGTAGCGTCCAGTTTTTTCCTCTGGAGAGAAAACTCAGATGTGTTAGACCTTACACTAATCTCCTCATTTTATAACGTTCTGAAGCATAGCTAGCACAAAACTACCAGTAACAAGCCCCCAAGGGGGTGTGGTATTTCATGTGAGCCGCTAGACGCTGTGATGTTACCTTCTCACTTACCTTCACAAGGCTCTCTGTTCGTATTTCACGCATCCTTTAACATATTTAGTGTCAGAAGATGCTCGTACTTCCTTTTCCCAGTCAAGACAAACACTTTCAACCTGAGATTAGTCTTGGAAAACAAGGGCAGCAAAGATTACTAAACAGAACATAATCAGAGCAGTGAGGTGGACTGTAAGAGCCTCAGCAGAATTCATCCAAAGACAATCAATCTTACTGCTGTTTTGATTTTGTTGCCTGGATTCAGAGCTGGAATGCAAAATGCACCAAACTGAAGAGGGTTATGTCTGTAGTAACAAGAGCTAGATCTTTAGTTTAGTGGTATCTAGCATGACTGGAGGGCCTTTGGGCTTCCTCCAAGAGGAAGTGCAACAAAGTCTTAACCCACAGAGAGTTACGGTCCTCTTCATCCCTGACAAACACCCTCAATCAATGCAGCTTCTCATCTGACAGACCTTAGATGAAAACATTTTGTCTACAACCAACTGCTCTTGAGGATATGGGTGATTCCACTGAACAAGAAAACAAAAAGGACAGAACCGAAAACCACCCCCAACCAGCCACAGATTAGCCCAGCCTGACAGAAAATAAATGGCTTCTGACACAGGGGATGGGATTGTCTAAATTTCTCATTTGGAAAGGAGCATTTTCAACATCAGAAAACAAAGATCTGGTAAACAGAACCCAAGAGTATTCGTAAGAGCAGAACATTCTTCTTACTTCCCCTTTTCCTTGTCATATACAATACTAAGGTAAGGGAGCCTTGTCCTTTATGCTACATAATAAAACATCCTTCTTGAGTGTGCACAACCTTGTGCTTCTTGTGTGGTAAACATTACAATGGAGATGCCCCTCCCAATATCTCTGAAGTGCAAGTTCTCTCCAGTACTGGCAAGCAACAATCATAACAATCGCTGTTATGCTTTGCATTGCATTACAGGTTGGGGTTTTTTTTTTTTTTTGAATTTTTGAAGGTCATATCTGCACCATGTATCTGTGCCAGTTCCAGCTGATGCAACTGATCACGAGTTCGTATATAAAAATTTCAGTTTTGCTCACAGATGTCTCTCAAATGGACAATACACACAGGGAAAACAAGGATGGATGAAGATATATTTGACCAGCTCCTAGTACTGGATTCAACAGTTAAGAAGATGGGCTGTGAATTGATTTTAGAAGATGTGGGTATATAAAAGCTTGGAATGCTTGATGAGGGTTTTTTTTTTATTTTTTAATCAACGCAGGTGGAAGTAAACATTTATTAACATTTGGTCAAGTGTAGTGTAACTTGCATTTGTATTTTCATTGTTATTAATGGAGGTATGTAGAGATATACAGAAACCTTGAGACAGTTGTTTTTCTATTGCATACAGACTAGCAGTCCATTGGAAACAGAGGATGAAAGCATGAAGGTTAGATCGCTGAGGGCGGCAGTTCTTCATGCACAGCTTTTGTAATCTTGATTTTTTTTGTTCTTGTTGTCGTTTTTGTTTTGTTTTCAAAAATAAAAACATGGGAAACCAAGATCAAATGATGGTTGACAGGAAAAGTGACATCATCAGCCATAAAAACACCAGAAGTGCCTGAACCCCCTCATTCAAGTCCAAAGGTGCTAGTTTCTTCAACAGCTGTCAGCAGCTTTTCATACAGCATAGAATATGAGGGGTAAGGTGGAAGATCCAAACGGTTGAAACATGTGTGTGCCCTGCAAAAGGAAAATATGCTACATGTTAAGTTTAATCTAAAAAAAATTTGAGAAAATAACAACTGAGAGAACTCGATCCTACTGAGACTCAAGACATCCCAGTTCACTTAAGAGAGAGAAAAATAAATTCCGACTATTAAAGGAAAACCCTTGAACTGCACCAAAAGAGGAGGTGATGAAATGTATGTGCACATACACGCGGATATTTCATAAGGAAGACACAGACTAAGTTTAAATGAAACATCATTCTCTGATATCCCTGCTTTAGACGTTGCAGGGGTCTTGGGGAATCTTGATGGAGAAGAATGCTGGAGGTCACTGAGGAGCCCTGATAGAGGGAAATTACTACAATTTTGGTTGCTTTGAGATTTTTTTTTTTTTTTCCACAAAAAATGGAACTCAGCTGTACATCCAACACGAGCAGCCAGTAAGTTTTGCACCAGTGGACAAGGATAACGTTATGGACTATACTGACAGAATGGGCTCAGCGTGTGTTTGCAGTGAGGCAGGGCTGACTGGTAAAAGACCATCCAGGGATCTGCTAACTGAAGAAGGAAGGCTGCTGAAAGTGTTCCTGCAAGTCAGCTGTTGGCCATCTGCTGCAAGTCTGGCCTTTCAATGTTATTTATTTGCGGTAGCCAAGACAAAAGCAAAACACTTTGTGCAGAGCAAGCTGCAAACTTGATGATGACCATCTCTTCCCCTGGCTTTACCATTGTATTTACCCTCCATCGTGTTTACACTGGCAGCACCTTCAAAAGAAGCTGTGGAATGGGTTCCATGAAAGCCTCCACCTTGGTGCAGCTTTTCTGGCAGCAGCAATTAGACCCAGAGGCAGATTACGTTTCACTGTGTGGGGTGCTACACACGTGGGGAGTAAAGAAACAGCCTCTGCCCCAACAGTTCAGCCATTTCATCTGACTGAGAAACTGCAGAGCTCATTCAACAAACAGGGATGAAGAGGCACCTTTTCATTAAGATTGTACGAATTTTTTCAGGCAGCTTTTACATGATGTTAGCAATATTTCTATTTCCTCTTGCTCGCTCGATAAATGTGAGTTTGCAAAACTGTGCAGAAGGAAACGTAGCCTCAGTGACTGATGATGTCTGGGCTTCTGGCCCTGAGTATTTTTAGGAGCCACAAAGTTGTTTTACATCTAGCTTTCTTATCTCATACTTGAATTCAATGCTATTTCTTCAAAACTGATGCAGCAGAGCTATCTTGGAGAAAACTACATGAAAAATGTGCTAGTCACCTCTTAGGCCACCCACAAAGTGTGAAAAACATAATACCAGAAGATGGGCTGGCCTGAGACTTGTAGATTCAAAGGGAGAGTTTTATCAGGCACCAGTGGTGAATCATTAAAAACAATCAGGCAACTGAAATAGTCAGAGGCATGTAATCTTCACTGCATCACAGAACTTCAATTAGGAGAGCTTTTACCATCCTTTTTCCCCTTCTGAATGAAGATTTGTTAGCTGGTCACTCTCAGAGAGAGTACAATAAACACAAAATTTGTGGAAATGAGCTGGGAACACTTGAGTTAGTGAAAAAGGAACATTAATAAACCCACTATTTAATTCATCTCTTGAAATTAAACATGGCAGCTCATGTGTATTATCCATGAGTAGCACTACACTGTTTATTGTTTATCTCAGCAATCTTACGGCAGCGTAAGTTGTTTCTACAATCCATTGCCAATACATATCAACCACTGGGAGTTAATTAACTGAAGGATTCCTGTAGTCCATTCAGAACATGTCTATCACAGCAACAGGCAAAGACAGCCAGTCCTGAGGGGCTCAGCTGCCTGGCTCCAGAACTGGAAGCAGCGTAGCCACGGTGGCTCAGGTGTGGATTCTGCTAATGTAACTTTGCAGAACCTGAAGGAAGATCTCTGTATGGTGCTCAACCACGGCACATTTAACTGCTTGAGACAACAGCATCTCAGGCATTGCTGTTGTGCATCCCATCGTGTGGTGCAGACGTATCCACAGCCACCGACTTTGATGCTTACTGTCTTGCAGACATTCATCTTGACTGATCGTTATCCATTTCAATGCATGCTGATTATGAAACAACAATGCTGTTGACTTTTAGTCATCCTTGACCTAGGCAAACTCAGAAAAAAGGTAATTCCTTTCCTTAATATGAGGTTTACAGGAGTGGGATCTTCTATAGGAGGTCTCAAGCAATTTACTGTAGGGAGAAACTATTACAAAGAAAGGGAAAAAAGTTAATGTGTCTAGAAACACTGAAGCATTTTGCCAAGCAACACTCTCATGTTCACCACTTAAAAAACAACTTTACAGAAAAAAACCCTTTCATTCCAAAAAAAGGCATCAAATTAATCAATGAAAAATAATTTTCAGGAGTACGATTCAGGTTAGGTTTACACTTCTACCTACTTCTGGTGCAAACCACAATATATTGCTAAAGGCAAAGCCTGAGTTCAAATTCTGGTTTGTGAAACTAATATGAATCTACTGCAGCTCCAATGATGCCTGTGAAGCCCACCCAATCTTACAAAAAGGTAATTATGCACAAAACTGTCTATTTTACATTCAGCAATGGGCCTAATTGCTTCTTTGCTGCAAAGGTAAATTAGTCCTGAACCATGTCAGCCTCCTACTGCCCATCTCAGTGAGAGTGTCTACAGTAACCAGGGGACGTTTGCTGCACATACTGGGGTGAAAGCATTACATCAGAAGTGCAAGAAACAGTCATAGCAATAAGAAAATATTTCTTTCCTTGATTAAGCCTCCTACCACATAAGCCTGGTGACATTTGAGAGGGTGTTCAGGGAGTGAGAGGTCTGGAATAAGAATTAGATTGGTAAGAGCTTTTATGGGAAGGATTCTGGCTTCTCTAGAAGAAAATGCAAGATAAAGTCACGTAAACCAACTGTGACCCTCATATGCCCTCATCCTCCAAGTAAGTAAAGCAGTAAATGGACCACTTAAAATTTCATTCCTCCTGGCAGACTGTGTTTATTGCTTAAAGTAGTTATGGTGGGTTTGAACCTTTAATCTTGCTCACTGTTCACAGTACTGCGCTATTTCTTTTCTTCTAAGAATTCTCTCTGAAAATTTTAAGTTTTTAAGACTTTTGCATTCATCTTTTCTTTGTCACTTCCATTATTCCTCAGAAAGATGAGAACCCAAAGGCAGTAAATGTGGGCACAGAACCCCTTAATTATAGCTTGAACCCATCAACTAAAATAAGACTTGCATTCTAACATAAACATGCCTGTCAGGCACAAACTGGGCAGCTCTCCTTTTCACCTTGCTTTCTTCAGATGAACCCACAAACCTCTCTTTGATCAACCTCAGGACCCACAGGTAGCAAGTTTTGTTCCTTTTGACTTATATCCTGTCTGGAAACCGGTGGTTAATAGATGAATGTAGATTTGTAGATAACATTCCCGTTTTATGTGAGAAAAGAGGACAGTGAAGATACGGAGAGATAAAAGACAGCAAAGCCCATGCAGTCAGTCCACTGGGGAAGAAGGAAATTTTGAGAAAAAACTTCTTTGTAGTCACACACAATCCTTCTTAGTTGCTATATGGGATTCTGTGGTGATTAAATACTTGATCATCTGACAGAGAGGGACAGAATTGTCTTACAAAAGTTCAGACATTGACTAGCACTGGTAATCTGTATCATATATAACATGCATTACTGTGCCAAATGAATATCTCTTCTGATGAAAGGGTAGTTGCAGCTCAGCACTGTGAGGAAAAGTGACCTCATTGTGTCAAATGTGATCATTTGAATCACTGGGATACATTCTGAGGTCCTTACCTAATTCATACTCAAACAGACATAACCTTGGAACTGACAGGAGTTTTAGCCAGGTGAGGAGCACAACCAGAAGACGGGGCAGTGGTATTTGTAGGCACTGAACACTTTTGATGACTGAGAATTTTAAAAGGGGGAACTGTTGCCTTTTATGGCTACAGTAGAAAGCACTGCCAGTTCTTTGTACAGCTTTGTTTTGGGCCAGGAGTTCCAATCCCATATCAGATCCCATATCAGATCCCATATCAGATGAAGCTATCCCAGCCAGAAAACCCGTGGCTGTTCATTAATGTTTGGTGGGGAATAAACAATCATTTCTTACAGAACTACTGCTAAAACTACTGGTTCAGTCTAAAACACCTGCATGACCCAGGAAAGGTGAAGAGAGGCTTCCTGCTTCAGAAGAGTCTTTAGCTGGAAGAATTCTCCCACCATTTCTACTTCAGGCAACAGTTTTAAGAAGTAAAACACGTAACTCCTTTATTTTGGGGGCAATGCTTTGCATATTAGATAGGGAGAGTAAAACTCAACTGTGACGAACACATAATTGAACCTGTTATTTCACATGACAAGCCGCAGCAGTTTGGAAGAAACCCTGCTGCAGATTTACACTGACAGATCTGCACACTGACTGCTGGCAGTCTCTTTGGCACCTGATTCAGGGTCATTGTCTGGAGGTTTGTCTTCCTCACCCTCAGTGCTTCGAGAAGCACTCTAAGTGTCATGTATTAGTGGTTATTCTTTGAAAAGCGTTGCATTTTAGAAACTTGCACCATGCCTCTTTTCTGGGAGCGCCAGGTTGTTGTTGCAAGTGCAAAAGCACAGGTGGTTTAGGTATTGCATTAGGTGTCACATCTTTGCTCACTACAAGCAAACGGCAGTTGCATGCTCCATTGCCAAAGCATAAGGACAGGATGCAAGGGAGAGTCACCCAACTACTTCAGCCATCTGGAGCAGAAGCAAGGGAATACAGAAGAGAGTCCTCTACCCTCCTCGTAGAGCTAAAAGTTCTCAGTGCTTCGTAAAGCAAATGAAAACCGAAAGGCCAGACTAACCTATTGCCAGTGACTCACCATCTACCTGGATGTCAAGAATGCCAAACACATCAGCTTCCCTAATACCTTTCAACACACTGCAGACTAAGACCTAAGGCCACCAGGACAACTATGCATAAACACACAAGCAACTAAATCTGATGATTTCTAAGACGTGAGAAAGCTGGTGGTTTTTTCCCTAGGACTTTGAAAACATGGAGTGACTCTCACTGTGAAACTGCAGAAACTGTTGGAGTGAGAAGTGAATTTGTTGTGGTTTACTGTAAACAGCTAAAGTTAGTTAAATTCACATCACAGGGGCCAAAACGCCTACAGGATATAACATATGACTGTTTTTTAGCCTCTAAGTAAGTACATAAATCTAAATAAACATGAGAAAACCATAAACAGGCATTAAAAAAAAAAAGTTTTAAATGATATTCATTTATTTGCTTAACTAAGGATTTAGGGAACCTCCAGGTTTACCCTGTGTGTTTTATGTTATTTCTTCACACTGTGTATACTTGGCAGCAGCCCATAATTTTATAAAAATGTAGGCACTAATTTAAGGTGATCAAGCGGTGTTTATTCCCCAGGAGCAAGTGTTATTTCTTTTTCCCCTGGCTGAAATGAATGCAGAGCTCTAAAACTTCTAAAAGTTGCTACCAACTTTCACCTGGAAAAGAGGCCTCTTTCAGGGAGAGCAACAACTTCGGTGATCAGCAGACAAACATAAAATCATTAATGTGAATATCTCGGGGCTAACTGAATCTAGGTCATAAGTAATTCCTAGGTTCACAAAGAAAGTTAAGCAGAGCAGAAAGAGGCCAATTACCTTTTCAGAACTTGATGGGTCAGCCCAGGGCATTTTCTGTGCAAAGAAGGAGTGCAAAGAGAACTGTGCAGAAATGCTGCACAAGTCTGTGACTGCTAGTTGCAGTCACAAGGCAGGAATGCCCTCAGTAAGCTCTGAAACCCTTACGTAGAACCAGACTACCTAATTCTGCAAATGAGGATCCAGACTATGCATAACAAACTTCTTCTCAGGCTTTCTTTCCCCATTGCTGGCTGGAGTTTGGAGTCATCTCACTGACCTTACATCTTCTCATCTGTTTTTAAATCTAGCTTTCACGTAGGCTCTAGTTCTCCATATCGTCTCTATAGAGTCTTTATAGCAGAGGGACATAAATCAGAATGTACCAGATGAGACTCAGCTTAACAATTTTAAAAATCTGTGTTCAGTTGGGATGAACTGTTCCTTAAAAACGCTTCCCTTTTCCTGACTTTAGAAGGAGTCCATACATAAGGTGCCAGCTCTGAATGCCTGCAGATGCAGTGCCCTGGTCCAGTTCCTGCATCTCCTCACTGAATAAATGTGGGCTTGAGCATGGACTAAGAGGGTGATCAGATTTGGAATTTGCCTCTCTGGAGGACTCTGTAGGTTTGCAAGTAATGAGAAAACTGGACCAGAGCCTTTGTTAATTGATCGTCTGAAGAGATATTTGCAAGGTCTGCGCCAAGAGATTTTTGCTCCATGCCACGAAAGTGACCTCCTTTGGGCTGCAGCTGAAAGCAAATGATAGGAGCAGGGAGACAGCATCCTTCGGAGGGAAAATGTGATGTAAAAGGGCCATGTAGCAAAAGTGTCTCGGAGGTGCTGAACTGCTGTGCAATGTCAACGGGGCAGAGCCTCAGGCAACTGCAAGGACATTCAAGAAAAAGGTGACTCCCTTCAGTGAGAAAGGATGAGTGCTGGTCACCCACGAAGTGGCGAAGCAGAACTCAGAACTGAATGTATCACTGGCTGTGCCAGGGCTCTCTTGGGTGGCCTTAGGCAAGTCAAACCACCCCTCTGAGCCCCTGTCCCTTTGTTCTGAAAAGGAAGACGACCCCTCCTTTGGGAAGCACTGCCAAATCCGTTGATTCAGGATGACATTATAACTCATTTGCTCCTAGTTGGCTGACTGAACTGGATGTAACAAATTGGATATTATCACCACACGGTCTGATGTCCCATCACTAAGATTCTTCATTATGAAAAAGTAGAACCACCAGAGCGAATGAAGGGATTATGCTCAGGTTCTAGTCAAAACTCAGAGACAGGTTTTGGCTTTCTCTGTAAATTCACAGGTATTTTTACTAGTACTCTGGAAGCAAAGGGAACAGAATCAGTTGACAGGCTCCTGTTGGTCTGGATCTGTTCTAGAATCAAAATAAGACAACTAGGTTTGGATCTGTGGAAACCTTTATCTTAACCATTTCCGAGGATTCCAACTAGTTTAAAAACCAAAAAGGTAGCAAAATAAAACAACTCCCAGTATAATTACAGAACAAACTGATAATTACTTCTTTCTTGGTTTTTCTTTTTTTAGGTGTCCTTACTGCATTCGTTATCTTTCCCTGGCAGGGAGGTGCAGCAGCGTACCACCTTTCCCACAGCAGTTCTGGTACCAACTCCCCCTTGGGACATACCTTGGGAGGGAGGTGATTTTCCCCCATTTCTCTATGCAGAAGCGCCGTAGGCCGTTGCTCCCCCGGAGAGCGGCAAAGCCCTCGTATGGCACGCTGGACGTTCCCGTGACGAACTGTAACAGCCGGAGCCTCTGCTCGTTGTTAAACCTCTCCACCGCTGCCCAGAACCACCGGATCACTATGTGTCCATCGTGGTAACCTGAACCAAGAAGCAAGAGGGATTAAAATCACGCCCTCCTAAGTGGAAGGTGCAAAGCTGAAAAGCGTTCCTACTGGCACGGGTCAGAAGATCAGCTTAAAAGATCATGTCCTGACAACATACCTTGTTCTTCTTGAGCAATAGGTGCCAGGTTCCATTTTGTCCTGGCTGTGGGTATTATAATATTACTAATCAATTTCAAACCCCGAAACTCAAATATATATTCAAGGTACACTGGCCTTTCACAAATCCCTTGACAACAACTGGTGTTACACGCACGAGGTATTAAAGACCAATTGCAATATGCCACACAGTGTGAGTCTTAATAACTTAACAATTTCTCGTTCCCAAATAAATTCTCTTTTGGATCGCAGTGGTGTTCGACATATGGAGAGGAGCTTGCTGCCACAAGCCCTTCCCTGGCAAACTTCCCACCTGAGGGGCTCTGTGCCTTGGTTTGTGCTAGTGAAAGCCAGCATAAAACCCAGGCTGAATCTGTTTCAGTAGCTGAACAGAAAGAAAGCAGGAGAAGAACTCTGGGGACCAGCTGTGCTTGGGGTAAGCTATGTGTTTCAAGGCAACACAAAGGCTGGGCAGTGAGCAGCAAAGACTTGAAACCTTGAATTTCAGTGGAGGATATATGAACCTCAGGGACTTTCCATTTGTGGTGCAGAACCGGTGGATTTCACATTTATCCATCATCCAAGACAGGCTGGATAAATCATACTCAGTGTTTAAAGCAAAACCAGGCCAAGCAGCAGAGAAGTGACATAGTTTACGCTAAGAGGGGACATTTAAGCAAGATCTGTATGTTGTTGAAGTGTAATTGGGAACTATGAAATTCAGCTCTTGCTTTCAGCTCCCTGCTGAAGCCAAGAGGACTTGTGAACTACTTTCAGTGAAGCCAGGAATTCATTCACAGTCATCTAAGTAACTTTTAGATCTAATACTGCAAATCCATTTAAGTCCTTAATAGTCAAAACTCCTGCTAAGTCTGTAGGGACTGAATGGATAAAATCTGGATAGAAGTAGCAGAAGCAACTTCAGCACTGTTACACCTCTTGACCCAAACCTGAGATCTTATTTCAGGAGTTATTCTTCACAACAACTCTCTGAACAAAATAGGGAAATTTCCCTTAGGAAAGACAGAAGGAAAAGATGGACCAAGTCTTTTATGTTTTAGACTGAACCAGTCAAGATATTAGTAAACATGAGCAGGCAGTTTACCTCCACGATATTCCGTGTTGTTCCTCCAGTCATTGAGATCTATTTCTGCAGTGCCAGCTATAACCAGCTCCAGTTCTCTGGCATCAAAAACAGAGACGAGCCTGGAGTCTACAACCTAGAACAAAAAACACTTGTAAGCACAGTCTGAGATGGGAAATAAAGCAGATGCAAAGTCTCCTAAACCTATGGCTCTGATGGCCAGCTGTTTACTCTGATGAAGTCTGCAAGCTGACAGCTAACTTCCACTCCTCTCCTGATGAATCTGTGCTCTTCTTCAGGGAGCCTACAGATGAAGGGAGTCTGATGAGCTGCGAACAACCATCACACGTGAGATTTGGCCAGCCCGAAACAGTAAAAGTGACTGGACACAATCTGTGTAGAACATTCTTCGTTGTTACATTCATTCTGACGAGTGATCTTGATAAAGCCTGGAGTTGTAATACGGACAATTTATTCTGTATTTGTTTTACACTGGAATTCGATTTCTATTGTGTGGGAGTGCCCTCAGGTCTTCATCTAGGGTAGAACAAAATTTGCAAATGACTACTTCTCTTACTAGGTGAATGGAAAGCAATGTCCTTCTTAACTCTTGATCATAATGCTTTATTTATATTCAGGCTACACATTTCTTTCCTTTCTTCCTTAATGCTAAACAAGCCATACATATCCAAGGTCCCCATCCCTACAGATCCAGGAATCCTTGCTGTTGTGTCTGTGCAGCTCTTTCCTAGGGTCCCAACGAAGCACAGTTTAACCACGGGGGTAATCTCATTCAGATGAGGAATGGGAGACCGTGGGAGCATCGCTTCGTTACTTACTTCGTAGAAGCCACGGACCAGGGCCTCTGTCTGCTGAACCACTCCTCGTTCCACTCGCCACTTGACCATTCTCTCGATGTACTCTTTTTTGTTCTTTTCTGTCACTGCTGTATTTGCCCCTCCAGATTTCAACTCTCTCTCTGTCACCTACAGAACGAAGATAAACAGTGGTGTAGCAATGTATGGATCACGTTGTATTTTAAGCTCAAGACTATCCAAGCAACGGTACAGGAAACAACAGCAAGGATGGAGAGGCAACCGAATCGCAGTCTTGGAGTAGGCAGACTGCTCCACCAACTGGAAGAGATATCTACTTGTGTCTTAGAAAACAAGCATTACCCTTCCCCAAGCGCAAGTAAAAGTGTTTACTCAGAAATGCCAGTAGCCAAAGAAATTATCATAAAATGAATACTCCCAGTACACTACCTAAAACAAGACCTGTACAGTAGCCTTGCACAGAAAACAAATAGTCACTCTGGGATTCAGGTCTTTGTGTCAGCCATCCAAACCTGAGAAGTGTCTGTACTGTAAATAATTTTTTTTAAAAATCAAGAGCTAAAGCATTTAATTGCTTTTAATGGTTAATTTAACTGGCTTGGGTTACTAAGACTTGAGATTGAGAAGGGATTTAAGGAATCAATCTGGATTCTACCCAGCAAGCACATACTCCTTCTCCCATGTGACAGAAAATAATATTTATCTTGTAATTATTTTCACATTCAGTTCAGTGGGTTTAAAAGGAAGAATGTTTTGCTCTCCTCTTCAGTTTTCTGCTGCTATAACAATGATGTCTAGCACAGATAGTAAATGGAGCTGCACAAATACATATTCATTATTAGTGCTATTTATATTATTATCTATTTATTAGCCCAACAGACAGCACAGAGAGTATTTAGGTCACTTTACTTGAGGGACCTGTTGCAATATTAGGAATTAAGGAAACATTGAATGAGTCATCTAACCTGCAGCTTTGTTGAGAAACAGCAAGAACAAGTAAGGTTGGATGGAATGAGTTAGGAATTCTTAGCTGGTTCAGGTTAAATTCCCAAACGTAAATCACTGCATCACCATTATACAAGCGATGCTGCTTTATCCAGAGGATAAGACTCTGGCCCAGCTGCCATGTTGTGTTCTTCAAAGCTGTGTGGCAATAAGATACACCTAGAAAACCAAAGACTTAAATGTTGTCCAGCTTTCAGCACAGCTGTAAGTCCAGATGTTCTAAGTCTCCTGCAAGATTTCCCCCAAACATCTACACAAGCTGGTGATTTCTTCAACTTCTCATTATCCATATGAATTCAAATACAAGTAGTTCTCTGGAATTGGAGGCCTGCAATCAAAGTGTCCCTATTTTTCCTTTCTTGTTCACAGAAGTATTAACCACAGCCGTGAGCTGTGGTTAATTCACAATCAGGTTTCAGAGTAGCAAGGAGACATTTCAAACGCACTAGCTCATCTCTTTTACCTGACTGGAGCAATAGCCAGGGCTCAGAGTCAGGCTGTATCCACATATCGAGCTCAGAGACAGGCCTGAAAGGTGACAAAGAACACTTTCTGCTAGCTAAAAGCATGAGAAACTACTTTGGGTGACAAGTAACTGACACCTCTCTCTGTCTTATAAGTGAACTTCTCAAATTAGCATTGAGTCCCCAGCAGTAGAAATGTGCAATGCTCGATTTGACACTGTACCCTTGCTCTTACAGGAGTGCTCTGGGTCCCAGTATACAAGAAGGCTGTAATTCATTCTAATTAAGAAAGTTCAAGAAAAAGAATTTGGCCTGGAAGGCTTAAAAGCTCAATACATACCAGAGATGAGACAAGAAAGGAAAAATGACAGAAGCAGTGACTGGTCCACAGTAAAGTCATTGTGGAAGCAGACAAAAGGCTTGTGACCCATCTACCATGCAGCTTCTCAAAAAGTCAGTAATTCTCGTTTCCCTTATCCAGCCCTTGAAATCCAGCTTCCCAAATATTAGCAGAGCTCCCACTGTGATGTACACTTGCACATGTATCCAGCAAAGCAGTGCTCAGAGGGCATTTAAGTGCTCAGATACTCTCGGCATGCAAGAATTTCCAACTGGGATCCATCTGTGAGCATAAAATGTGACTTGAGATTTCTTTGCTACTTTGCTGTCAGCCCTTAGCAAGCTTTAGAAGGGGGAAATTCCCACTTTCACTTTGGACTCTGGGATTCTGACAGCTGTAATTCACAGTGAGAACCATTTTTTAACCCATCATTAGTTCTAGCAAGGTTAGTGTCTAGTACACATGAAACAAAGTACTAGACAACATGTGAACTAGAATCAAAATCTGCCTTTTAGTGTTCTTTTGCTTTCATACCGCAGCATCTACAACAGTTTTTTTTCTATTCTCTTTCAAATGCCACCTTCCACAACAGACTCCTATCTAACTGTCTAGCTCTTTGCTTTGGGGAAAGTATAACAAGTAATTAGTGTGCCAAATGTTACCTTCAGATGCATCAGAGCAACTCAGGTTGAGATTCTTATTCAACTTTGTAGTCTTCCAATGTAAATATAAACCTGTCTTATCTGCCTTCGTGAGTATGTCTGTATGTTTCTCTCTGTCTTTTTGTATTAGTCTTACATGGCCATACCTTCCAGGGAAACCACTGCACTGTCATCTCAATGTCATACAAGCTCTCAGCTCCAAGTCCACGAAAAAACCCTTCATCTGAGTCTGGGGAAAAACTGTGTTATTGTTCCTACAGAGGCTTACTACTTCAGTTCTTTGGCCCCATCCTTTTCATTTCATCCACCCTTAACTCTGGCTCAGCCTTCGTGACCTTGTACTATATGCAGACTAAATTCAGCTTGGAATATACACCCCGAAGCCTTGCTTGCTTTGTGTTACTTTCAAGCTTATAGTTGAGCAGCCCTTTAACTTGCAGGGCCAGAATTCCTCCCCCCAGAAACTAGTCTAACTGTCCCCTAGCTCACACAACTACTCTAGCTTTGTGCAAACTCCTCCTGGCAATCTTATTTTGAAGCGGTAAGAGCCGTTCTCTGTATATTCCACCTGATCTCTCCGCTCCCTTTGACACTCTGTGTCTGTTCCTCACACATTCCCTGAGTGTCTGCAGTGCTTGCTGAGCGTGGCTCTTCGGCCCCCCTCGTTTTCAGTATCACCTTGGAGGTCCTTAATCTTGTTCTGAATATTGCTCTGGGTCCCTTGAAGGTTTTCCAGAGGCAGTTATAACCTAGCATGAGTTGCAACAGCAAAGAGCACCAGGCCCTCTGTGCAAGCCAAAGAATCCCAGAGGAGACACCTATTCTGGGTGCCAGACTTAAGACTTACCTGCTGCACCCTGTTTAAGGCTATAGTTACCCAAGATCAGTCAGGTTACAATGACTAAGGTAGAGCTGAGTTGTAGAAAGCATAATAAATGGATGTACATACCAAGTTGTTAAGTAGGTGCAAATTAAGCAAGAGATACAGGATCTAACAGGGAGACATTAGACAAAACAGTGGTGAGAGCTGCCGGGTCCTACACCACCTGTCAGATGTTTTTCTTCCCTCCTAACCCCCGTCCTTTCAGTCACATCAGCTTTGAGTTACATTGCTTGCATTCACCAAATGCCACATCTGTGTGAACTGCATGCTGGACAGAAGAGCTGCACTCCAGAGAATTCCTCGTGCTCATCAGTGTGTGGCTTAATAGGCCTGTAGGGGAGTTGGTATTTTATATTATACACCCTAAGAATAAACATCTGCCTTGGAACAGGTGGCTTGAAAGAAACAGAAGGTGGGAGAAGAAAATGTTATTGAAAGGCTAAAGGATTTGTTCTGACAGAAAAGTGTTCATCATGCCCGACTCTGTCAGCTTCAAATTTGCTTTTCAGATGTTTTGCATAGCTGTGCTCACCTGTCCAAACACCTCCTCGTTCACTGTGAAGGTTAGATCCAGGATGTCTGTGATGTTGTTATCCTTCATCCACTGCAAGCTCTGATGGAACTCTTCATCCAGGTACTCTAAGTCACTTAAATCACATGGCCTGATTGAAAGACAAGAAAAAAAACGATAAGACCCCATGACTGCTGGCAGGATGACTTCCTACTAAGTATGTGAACAAATTTATGCTGAAGATCCAACACAAAGCTGATGTTCATTTGGTTTTGTCAACATCAAAGCCTGTTACAAGACCCTCTTGAGGCAGTTCTGCAACTGTCTACTTTGCATAGCTAGGCTCAAGGCCAAATCTCTTGGCTGCCTGCACCGTTTGCTGTCAGGAGACACCTCTGGGGCTTGATTTTATGTGATTCTTCAGCATGCCCTGCACTGCAGAGCACATGCTCACCTTCAGCCCCACCATGCTGTACCTGGCTGTTTCCACGTACCTACCCTCCTCAAGGTGAGCTCAAAGGACTGACATAAGGCACATCAGGCAGCCTAAATTTCTGCTACTAAGGAGCCGTCCTCGTTTGCTGAAAGGACAGGTGGATGTTATGACCAGCCTGGTTTCAAACTCCCTAAAGGGGCAATAGGGATGCAGGGAGCACTCCAGGTTTCAGGCTATTTCCAGACTAGATCTGGTATGATCGAGATATGAGCATTTGGAACCCAGCAATACTCATTGTTAAAAAAAAAAAAAAAACAAACAAAACACAACAAACCCCAACATGATAAAGAACTCAAAGGACTGTTAAGACAATTATCTTTGCTGATCTGGAATCATCTTAATTGATAAACTATTTCAGCTAAGCTTTACTCTGCTCTTTGTCATTTAATTGCAGTATTGACATAATACTTATTATTATGTCATTTTCTTACTGCTGCAAATTTTATGTACCTTGTCTTACTTCAGTCTATTAATTAAGAGGGACAGATTGTCAATCAAATATAAACTAGAAATTGAAAGTAATGTACTACTGAAAGCTTCCGCTTACTAATATAAAAGACAGTAGAAGACCAAAAGGAAACATTCATTGTTTTTATCTATATTAGCATTCCTAATTAACCCAAGTAGTGCTCTGGAATGAAAACCTACTCCACCAGTGAGGCATGACATATTATGTATTTATTCTTAATATGACCTCACTCCTTTTTTTGTTGTTATTTTATTTCATTCCACCAAAGACGCTTTTCAGTCTTCCACATGGTTGAAGTTTTGTAAGTTTTCCTCAGTAAACTCGGGAATTTTGGGTCAGTACTTTCAAATGTGTGTTCCTACATACGTCATACTTATTATTCATTTTTATCAACATAGTATTTATGACTGGCAAATTCTTGGAGAAAGTAAAGAAGAATTAGAATGTGTTAATTTTCTTCAATCACAGACCGACCAACCAACACCAGAAAGAACCTGAAGGTCAGGGTGCTCGAAGCAACTCATGAAAGGTCTGTAGGACTGTGTCTCTGTAGGACTCACTGTGGGTTCACTGTTTCTGCGTGGTTGCACGCTTATACTTACAGCCTTAGTAGGGCTTTGTAGAACGGCCTTGTGAAGAAAGCATCCAGAAGGTACTGATGGATGAGAGCAAGGCCAAGAATACGACCGCTGAACCTGAACCTGTGATATAAAAGCACAGAGTAAACGAAGTGTAACTCGAGACTGTCAGTACAGAAACTTACATAGGTAGCAACTGTTTTTCTTTTTTTTGTTTCTGAATTAGTTTTTTACATTTATTCATTGATTTCTTTTTTTTCCAGGCAGATACTTAATGCCACCCCTCCCGTGTCTGATTAATAATGGATCTCTTCTTGATCCATCTCCTACAGTGCCTATACATGCAGCTGGTACGTTATGTGCTCTCCTGTGCCAAACCAATAAACACTCACCTTCTGTGAGCTTTAGTTGAATGTTCTGACACAGACTGACCCCATCAAGCACAATATTTAGCCAATGAACTACTGTAATGTTCTACCTCACCAGAAAACATACTATCTCAAAAGAGTTGTAAAGGATATTTGGACAATCAGTATATCCAGTTTCTGACTAGTTACAATCCTGTCCAAGGTGGGGCTTTAAAGTACTTTAAAAGTTGACTTCATACGGGAAAACTGAAGTTCAAGTAAGCTAACTGTTGTGACCAAGGACAGATTAAAATCACCGTCCCCAGACTGTTGTCTTAATGCTGATGCTCAGCTGTCTTCAGCATTTACACATTTCTATGTTTTTTTCCTAAGAAAAACAACCCCTAGTCCCCCACAGCAAATACACTCAAATAGTACCCTGCCCATTACAGTCTTCAACTTGTCATGATAAGCTGTGAAATTTTTCTTTCTATGATTTCTTCTATGAGTTAGATATTTTTCCATCTAATCTACTTTTAAATCAATAATCTCAGACAAATAAAGAATTGGTGTGAGGTCAAGTGAGTTTGATTTTTGTAAAAACAATACCCAACAACCATTCAAAACTTGTTTATTTTTAGAAAAGGAATAGAAAAAAAAAAAAATCTAACAAGTCAAATATGAGTACTCCAAGCCTGAGCTGACTGACATCACAGCGAAGTTTTATTGCACAGAAGATGAGAAACAGATCTAAAATCCAAGAAACCATTCCTTCCACTACAGGAACCAGCGCAAAGACCTCTCCTGCATATGAATGAAACACGAGCCTCATTGTAATAAAAGTGACACAAAATATCCGTTCAGTCAACTTTATGCTCACGGGACAGAACAACAAGTGCTCAGTATGTCAAATGGGGCACAAAACAGCATGCTGTGGGCCCAATTAGCATTTACATCACCACAGGAGCTGCCTCCGGGTCCCCTGCATCCAAGAAAGGTGCTTATGACATGCAGCTGACTGGCAACAGAGGAGTGATTATATTATCCCCTTACAGCTGTTTCCACAGCGGCAACAAAAGGCAGCTGTTGGATCTAGTTAGGACCTGCTTCACTTCACTTGTGCTCTGGTGCAACGTTTCCAGCAAAAAAGCAAGGGGAAGAGGGGGAGCTGACACAATGAAAGCACAGTGGAAGCCAGACAGCTCAAAAATCCCAGAAATGCCGAGCCTATAATCCATCAGTTTTATAGCACCTTCAGGATCCATAATCGAGTCCGCTTGTCCTAAATAACAACGTCGGCTTTTTCGGTTTTGTTCCTCGCCCCCATCCGTCCCCGTGCACTGAAAGCCAACACTGGATGAAAACACTGCGAGCACTGGGGTGTTCCTCCCTGCAGTGCTCAGCTGTGCAGGATGGGGCAGGCAGCAGCCATCTGGAATAAAGGAGAGCTGAAAGTAAACTGCCAAGAAAGATTTGGGAACGCTGCTGCTCCTCCTAAAAAAACTGCTCAAATGCGTAAACAGCGTTCCTTTCCTCCTTGCTGGATATATCACTGTACCTCAGCGTGGCTCTGAGGGCATTCATGCAAAGCTGACATGAAGGGGCAGTGCACCAAGACCAAGGTGTTTACAACCACGGGCACATGTCAGGGTGGCCGTTAATGGTGAGTTTAATTTGAGTCAGTGCCTGATGGCAGAACGGCACCAAACCATCCAAAAGCCATGAGTAGCATTTCTGTGTGAAAGGACCGAGCCTGCTGGGTCAGCCTAAGCCAATGTGGGCAGTGTGGTTCATCGGTCTGGCCTTGCGCTTTCAGCCCTCAGGAACACACCAGATCTTGCTCAAACAGGGGGTATGACCATAGCTCCACAGTCCTAGCCCTTGCAGTGATACTCTGTATGAAAACAAGTCCAGTACTAGCTGATCTAGATAAAGGGAGATGATGTAACTAACAAGACATTGCCACTCCCGGTGCCCACCAATACAATGGATAAAAAAGCTGCTGGCAGCTCCGTATCACCCCAGAAGACCAAGTGCTTCATGTCCAAAGTGTGTGAGCTCTCCAACCCACAGACCCCTCTGCCCTTGCACAAAGCTCTGGTATCTCTGCAAAGACTTGCTATGCTTGACTCTGTGATCTGAAGAGCAGTCTACGACAAGGTCCTCCGGCCCCCTGGCCAGGTTGGACAGGGCCTGGGACCAGAGGTCACACTGCTGTGGTCCAGCAGTGCACTGAGAAACACTGATCATGGCAAGCCAACGGATACCTGAGAAACACGGACCACGGTAAGTCAGTGGATGCCTATTAAAAGGTTTGCTGCCGTTCTCAGAGAACAACAATACAGTCCATCGTGCTGCCACTACAATCAGCCAAGTATAACAGTCCCACTTGAAATGTATCGGAACTGACAAAAAAGCAAGAAGAAACAAATTGCCCTCCTCACAAAAGCCAGTTAAAACAAAACCAGGCTCCTGTGTTTATATTTCTTCCTGACGGATTTAGAGCATTGGTGAGATGTAGAGGTGGCTGAGACAGTCCCTTCAGAACAAAACAAGTTTTCTCGACAGAATAAGCAGCGCAGAGGTAAATCCTGGCTAGAGGGCACATACCTTCCTTAAACCTGACTTACATTTATCTTTCCAAGGAAATGTAAAATGCTTGTTTGGTTTCTTTCTAGCAGAAAAGCTAGTTTGGGAGAGCTGGGGAATGCAAGGTCTTGCTCTGGCCTTTTCTTTCAACACCCTTCCCTCTTGGAGACAATGATTGAGTCTGAGTAATGTGCTCCGGCAGAGAGTGGAAATGCAGGAAGGAGTTAATGACCAGGAAATGGTGGAACGAGAGACAGAATTAATGAGCAGTAGAGCTGCTCTGGTTTGACTGCCTATTGACACCGTTCTTCCACTCAAAAAGCACATTGTGTGCACCTGCTTTCTGGCTTTTAACAACACTACTCTTTGACCCATTTGCAGGAGTTTCCACAGTACCCAGCTAACTCATTTTCCTTCTGGAGGCTTCAGGTGCCCCTGAAACAGCCTGTTGCAAAGTAACAGGCTCATTCCCCTCAGTGGGACTCTCTTACTCTGCATACCTATTGCATATCTGTGTACTGAGGGAGAGACAAATCCATATTCCATAGCAGCGACTGGGCAACAAATTTTCCTGCAGTTGCAGCTGGGTTACAGGAGATTTAATTTACTCCAGTTGTTATCACATAGGACCAGAGAGCAAGTCAGGACCCATAACGACACTTTGTTACAGGGCTCTCTCTTAACCGGTTGGATGAATGCAGCTCTACTTTACACGACAGTTTTAGCTTGGATTGAGATGGATAGTGATGTACCTTGAAAACATGGTAATCCATGTGTAAGGAGGAAGAACAGGTTTTATCATTCTATTGGGGATGCTTTGGGAACCATACCTTGTGGGCTAAATTGGGTATGGTATGAAAACTTTTAAATCCTAAACAGAGGAAGCACCTGATGGGATTAAAAAGACTGAAAATCTTGCAAGCCTTATCTCACTCAAACACATTAGCTGCATTTAAGTGTGCCCTTCTTGATGCAGTAGCTTGTGAAAAAATATTCAAAGAAGGGCTCAAGAGAGATAAATATAACACGGTTCACATCAAATTTGAAAATGTCACTTCCCTTTCATAAGACTAGTGAAAACTTGCTTTCATCTGTAAGGCAAATTTACACTTTCTCTTGCACCAGTTTTAAAGCTTTTGAATGTTGTGCAGATGAACTTCTGGCCACCTGAAAGACAAACTGAACAAATGAGGCTTCACTGTAGTACAGGGTTTCTGTCCTTGGCAGCTCTCCTGAGGCAGAATGATATTTGTCAGGTGGATGCCCGACAGCTGGACAGCCTATTAGTCCTTTCACAGCAGGAGAGACTGGACCTAATCGCAATCATTATTAGATACCAGAAAATCTAACAAGAGGAAATATTTAGAAAGGCACAGTCACAGGAAAGACTTCACTCTGAACATGCATCTTATTAGACAACAGAGAATTCAGTCATGAAACAGAAATTTGTAGGGAATCAGGCATCATAGATTCAAGAGGTTGCTTGTTTTAAAGGGACAGTTAAACCCACCATTGTTATGAAGACACTCACGAACAACCTGAAGGCCAGAAACTGCTGGTTAAAAGAAGTAAGAATCCATTCTTATAGCCCAAAAGTTTCTGATACGCAATCTTGTGATATGAAGGGGGGACAAAACATGAAGAGGAAAATGTACTGATTCTGTGATTTCTGAATTTTGGTGTTATCACCAGCACTAACACTTTATAAATGAAGAATTTTTTTTTTTTTTTTCCTAATTCAAGAAAGAACTAAGAATGTGTCTTTTGCAAGAAAGCTGACCAGATGGTTACATCAACTCTGCCTGGACTCACACACTATGAATTTTAAGCTAAACTGGCCATGTGTTAGGTATATGCACCAGTATCCTTGTACTGGCTCGGTGCAGGACATGACCAGCATGTCCTGTGTGAGCCACATTTACAGAGAAATAATCTAGGAGTACATCAGATCACCTTTACAAAACCTTGGCAGTGGATCAAACCCACGCTCCTATCAGCGTTGGTAAACAAATGCCTTTCTTTAATTTGGAGTGCGTGTTTAACCCCTACCCACACAGATGACAGAACGCTCGAGCGGAGCAATGCGATGACACGGGGCGTTCTGCTGTCAGGAGGGTTTGGGAGAGCTAACGCCGTTCTATCTCACTTGCATCTGCAAACCTTGCAGGTTGCCTCTCTGCCACCGTG